CGTGGTGAGAACGGGGCATTGGGGTGGTGGGGCATACATACCGTTGGCCCATGACGTGGCAACGTCATGGGCGCCGTCCCTCGTTCTTGGCCTGTCCTTCCACGTTGGCGTGGGCGTCGTTGGCGTGGGCATGAGCGTCGTTGGCGTGGGCGCGGGCGTCGTTGGCGTGGGCGGCGTTGGCGTTGGCGGCGTTGGAGGGGAGTGGTGAAGGGTGGTGGTGGTGGTGGAAGGGAATGGGATGGTCACGGAAGTGTGACCATGCTGCAAATAGAAAATGTGACGATATGGCACGCCCTCAAATAAGTCACGTGACCTCAACCCGCAGACTGAACAAAATCATGAATCCTTATTGCAGCTATCACTGACCCACACTATATGTAAATTATAACCCTTCCATTCATTGATCAATAAAATTGTAAGTATGGCTTGTATATTGTATAGTCTGTTTTCGCTTTTTTAGTTATATTCATATATAATAATAATAATATACTGGAATGACTGGAATCCACTGGACTCCACTGGACTCCACTGGACTCTGACTGGACTCATAGTCCACTGGACTGGGACTGGACTCAGGAAAGTGGCTGGCAGTCCAGTGGGAGTCCACTGGACTGGACTGGACTGGACTGGACTCCAGTGGACTGGGCATTCTGCCAGCCAATCTGGCCTGGTAAGAGGGCCACTGGAATCCACTGGAGTCCACTGGAGTCCACTGGAGTCCACTGGAGTCCATATGGATTACGTGGGGGAGGGTAAAGACCTCCCAAAACCTCTTTTACCACGCAGGTCGAAAATGCCTCGTCCTGGATCTCAACGAGACCCTCATGCATAGCAGGTTCAATGTATAATTATTCTGTATGCCTCCCCTCCTTCTCATCCCTTTAACAGGCAATACAACAAGCAGATTATGTTGTACCCATCGAAACCGAGTACCAACATTTGTGTTATCAAACGCCCAGGTGTTCGCCCTCTCCCCCTACCCCTGCCTTGTCGCGAAAGTCTTCCACCCAAATTCACCTCTCCCCGAGTCGACGTATCGTCCTGATCGACATCGTTCACTTCTAAATTCATTCAATTCGGTCACGCAACTGCATCTTACTTTGCTGCGTTGCTCATGGCAGCTTGTTCTTACCAAGTAGTTGCTGGTGCGTTGCCTGTTCTTTAGTTGAAGAAAGTACACTGACGCTTTGGGCAATACTACCGCTTGAAGCGCGTCATACAGAATAAACCACGTCAGTGCAAGCCATGATCACAGGTTCTGCCGACATTCCAAATTCGATGGCTAGCGGAGCGAATCTGACTGTCGTGTGTAATGTTGCTCGCATTCAAACTGCTACCCACCTCATGACGACCGCCAAAGCGATGGAGGAGATCACTCTTTGGCTGGAGAGTAAGTTTTCGCCTATCTCCTTAGCCTACGTTGTGTTCTGATAGTTTTTTGATAGCGACGCGGATATCTCAGCTGCGTCGGGGATGGGTTGAAGACCCCCACTGAAGGCCTGGCTGCCATAGCCGATGCTCTTGTTGCTGGCGAAGCACCACATGACGCTGACGGAATCAACCTCACAAATGGGTTAATGACTCCAAAGACGGTCCTTGCTTCGATGTAAACGTACGCCTTGTTTTCTATGTTGAATAACCAAGCGAATCTTTCCGGAGGCAGGATCGTTTAGACATGACTTCCCAACCCCGACAACAGGGGAGAACCCGATCAAGGACGAGAAGGGTTCCGCGCGATCTTTGAACTTTGGTATGTTTTTTTCTCACATCAATCCTGACATTCATCTCATTCTATTTGGATCTAGAACCAAGAGAGGCACTTCTGGTGCAGAAAAGGGTTGTAGATACTGTAGTTTACACTTGAGTAGCCCTGTACTAGTAAGTAGTAGCCCAAATATATCAACAATCATCCAAGCAGAGTTGAATCGGCGTCACTTGGGAGCTACTTGGCCGAATTTGTGCCACCTCATATCTGGCCTCGTTTTTCGGACGTCGCGATGAAATTTGGCAGCTTGGCAAAGTTGGCGGGCTTGGCCAAGCGTCCCGAGTGATTTGCGATCTTGCTGATAGGCTGGTCAAAAACTAATCTCGGCTCCAGATGTTCAGAGAGGTTCGAGCGGACCGGCGGTCCGCGGAGTTTAAAGTCGGAGGCAAAAAAAGCGAACAAAAGACAAGCACGGAACCTCTCTAGAACATCTGGTGCAATTTGATGGGTAGTAGGCTCGTGTCACAGTAGTCACAATCGTAACACATAGATAACAGTCGCGTCGTGTCGATCGAGAATCACCTACATATGGACGAGGTTTTCAGCGGTTACACCTCCCAAGATGAATCCTTTCATGACGGCGATCACCACCCCAAGCAAGACTCCTTTGATGATGAGGCCGATGATGCTGCAGATGGCCTGTCTGACGATGAGGAGGAGCCGGCACAACCTCCAGTTCCCCTCATGAACACACGAGCTTTAAAGCGAGGGTTGGAAGGAAGGGATGTTACTGGAATAGTTAGGGAAGTCCTTGACTTCATGAGCTTGAAACAAATCAATTTACCACTGTTTCTCGAAGCATTGAGTTGGGGTGATCCTGGGTGCCATTCAGATGCAAAGGTTCAATATGCATGGACTGTGCTGATGGTCAGCGACGAACTTCCTGGGATTCTAGAGCGATGGTACAACCCCCCAGAGGCTCAAGAAAGGGAAAGGGGAAGAGACCAGCAGGAGCTCAGCAGGTACTTTGCAACTTCACAAGAAAGTGTGTTGTCGACTGTGTAGACAGGGAAATTAAATTATCAGCGCCATTATTCCTTTCGCCCCCTGAAGACTGTCTCACGAAACACTCACAAGCCTTGACTTTCAATCTCTCACCAATGAGGTTAAAGCGGCTGCACCAATTTGTGGGAGGTGCTCCGTCGAGCAGCATACAGTCCTGAATAGTGTTTGAAAGTTAGGTTAGTTAACCGGAAAATAACCGGAAAATAACCGGAAAATAACCGGACCTAACTGCGGTTAGGGTTAGTTGATTTCGAAAATGGAATAACCGGTTATTTTGCGGTTAACTAACCATTAAATAACCAGTTATAACCAGTTATAACCAGCCCTATTATACACCTTCAAAACGCACTTGAGAACGTCGAAAACACTTAAAATTTGACTAAGTTACGGTCAAATCTCTAAAATATCACTCAAATGTGTAGACTTTCAAGGATAATTGCATAAATATGTCAATTCTTCACCGATTTTAGCGTTCTTGGGCTCGTTTTAAAGCTAGAATATGCAGAAATAATATCTATCAAGATATATATGAGCATATTTGCCTTGTTATAACCGATTCTTTATTTTTCGGTCCTAACCAGTTAGTAACTGCAAATAACTGACTGTAACTGGTTAGTTGCGGTCCGGTTAGGTTATTTTAGGTTTCGGGACAACGGCTAACCGGTCTCGGTCTCGGTTAGAGCCCCTGGGCACCCAATAACCGGACCTAACCGGACTTTCGAACACTAGTCCTGAACAAGAAAAAAGGAATACTCACAAAGATCCTGACATGGTCAGTTGCTTCCTTGTGTCTTCAAACTATCTATGGTTGTTGATTTTGCATACAGGCCACATTAAATAGGATTTCACAATGCCAATATACACAGTCCCATCAACACGGACGCCTTCAAAAATCATGGGCTATTTATTTAAAGGCTTGTGGACTTTCCGCATGTACCTTCGATGCGGTTCATTCCCTCAGGCTTACAATGAGCCATAAATGGACTGCGAATGCCTATGGCGAGCTCTCGGAACAAGCTATGAGGGCCACATGCTCCGAAATCAAGATTTATCCATGGACAATCTCACACGACAATGTCAATATCCCCCTTCGTGTATTTTCCCAACAACTGAATAATCAAAGCCACTTTATCAGTGGTTGCACTGCCACTGTCTGGATTCTTCTGCAGTGCGCCACCCTTCCCCCTGATACAAATTGACTTTTTCAAAGTTTTCGAGTGAGCCAAGCTACATCGGTTTTTTCATTTGACGACGTGATGTATGGGGAACCTGATGTTGATGCTTGCATTGAATCTCAGCATCAGTATCACATCCTATGGATTCTTCTTGATTGCCCAGAATTCTCAGACTACCCCCACCACGATGATCCACTGCTTGCTGCACCACCTCCTGTCCATGAACTCGAAGCTGGATTAGAAAATGCAACCAAGCAGTTTATTTTAGGCACTTGTCCAATTGAAGAGGCGAGCTATGAGGGCACCCTCAAAGTCATGGAAGAATGGTTCAAGCAACTCCACCTCGATTCAGAAGATGAAAAAATGAAGACAGGTCTCAAACTAATCATTGCTTGGATCAGTGATCAATTAATGATAGAGAGGCTCCGAGGGCTTTGGAAATATCGGCATGAAGACCACAATGCATTTGACAGAATGGACTTCATGATTCCAATATTTGGTTGGTTCCATCTCATCATGGCACTTGCTAATTCTCTGCATAAGCAGTATCTCGGAATGTCGGCTGGCATTGGTGGACTCCAACATGCGTTTGACTCAGTAAAATGAAAAGGTCTTAATACTCAATCAACAAAAGGTCCGTTTTGGCACCACCTTGACAAGGCAATTAAGCACATGAGTGAAGCACATTTTTGCGCTTCCTGGCTGGAGGCTGCTTGTGTCAAAACTCTCAGCAAGCTCAAGACAAAATCACTGCAAGGTCTTAAAAATTTGGCAGGGGACATTCTTCAGAAACACGCATCTCGGGGAGCTCTTTACTCTCCCCCACCTATTCCTACCGGACTCCTACTGGATTCCCGGAATCCTACTGGACTGGACTAGGACTGGGACAAATTTCATGCTGGCTGATCACCATACAAATTTTGTACCCTAGTCCTAGTGGAGTCCTAGTAAACTCCTACTGGAATGATCCCAAATCACCAGGAATTGTGGAATTCTGCTGGATTTTTAAGGAATGAGTCCAGTAGGAGTCCAGTACAAGGAGTCCAGTAGGAGCCCAGTAGGAGTCCAGTAGGAGTCCAGTAGGAATTTCCAGGGACAGGGAGCCCAGTAGGACCAGCAGTTTGTCACTGTTGTTGTTATTATATAATATAAAAAAAAGCGCAACCTGACAGAATTGAACTCTCAACCGTACAGACAGAGTGACAAATAGTGCATACAAAGCACTTTACCACTTGCACTGGTGTTGCACAATCCTTGGTAAGTGTGATGACCAGTGACATGCCATGACATGGTGTCACAGGCCCAATATCTTGAGACATTGAGTTTGTACTTTCCACAGCACCTATTCAATATATTTTTTGCAATGGGTTTGATTGAATTAAGTGAATGAATCCACTGGGAGAGTTTTCCCTGGAGAAATTGCATTTATTGCTCCAAAAATGCGAAATCAGTCTGTTTTCCCTGCCAAATGAGGCAGTCTGAAGAGATTGGACTATAACTTTTCAACAACAGCACGTATGAACATGATTTGCAGACGGATTTTACTTAGAATTCAAATTCCAATCGATCTACGGATCCAGAATTTTTATTTGTGGCACCTGTGCCGAGATACCCTTGAAAATCAGCACTTTTACATGGTTAAAGGCTAGTAATTAAAAATATGGACCTGTAGGATTGTAGCCACATAGTAATCGATGATTTCGTCTCTGCAAACCTAAGCCCAAATCCTATCTGTTGTGAAGCTAATAGCTCGAGGAGGCAACCTTGGGCCAATAGGTGCTGCACAGCCACTGATCCAATTCCAGAATGGGTTTGCACAACATGTGGCATCTGCATGGCACCCTCATGCATGCAGGAATGTTGCTGGATTTCTTGGAGACAGCTTCTTTACACTTGACCACCACCTCAACAGCCTGTAGACCCAAAACACCCCCATTTTTTTGTGCTTTTGCCTGCTTTTTTCCATCAAAAAGCATCCAAGTCCATACTACAAGTGAGGGTTTGTGCTTGAGCTTCAGAAATGCATATACATCTTATTATTGTTTTGCATCTAGGATCTATTCAGTAATTGAACATCTGCTTTAGGTATAGATATAGGCAGATCATTCAATTCAAGCATATAACTATATATTTTTGCAGGTATTGTTAGAACTTAGTACCACCCTTGTCACCTCTCTCTTCCCCTGGGTTTCATTTTTTGCTTGTCTCTCTTTCTCTGTGGTTGTTCTCTCAGTTATTCTCATCTCTAGTACTACTCTTGTCAGGAGATTCTTCAAGGAGGCAACCTTGGGCCAATAGGTGCTGCACAGCCACTGATCCAATTCCAGAATGAGTTGTGATCACTTCCCTTAGTTTTTCTTTTGTAGAATAGTTGTATAATAGCCTACTTTATACATTCAAAGTGTTGTAATAATGCTAAACATGAAAAATATCCAAAGAAAATGCAGTTTTCTGGCAACATCTCATTCACTCTCATAGCCCTCTATATCCTCCCAACCCTCCTCCTCATCCTCCTCATCCTCCTCATCCTCCTCTTCCTCTGACAGATTAATATTCTCACCCTCACTCTCCTCATCTTGGATGAGCTTCCAAGCACCATTTGTATGCAGATTGACAGTCCAGACTGGACACTATGGTTGAGAATGGTGGTGCTATCAACAAGGGGTTGCCGTTTCTTTGAACACGATGCGCGTGGAGGTTTTGGTAGGTTCTTTTTCAACTTGTGCTGCCGCAGCCGCTCCACCCTTTCCCTTTCCTTCTTCTCCAAATTTCTTGCGACTGTCTCTGCCTTTTTCCTATCCACTTTTTCCACCTGCTCCGCTTCCCGCCGATGAAGAAAGTCAACATCGTATCGCGATAGCATCTCAACAACTTCTTCACCATGCCGACGTGCATGGACAGGACTCCAGCCAGCCCCAGTCAATTCTTCGAGAGTCTTCAAGTGAGCTTTTGAAGCCAGAGTGGTCAAGACGACATCGGGTAGCAAGACCTGAACTCCCCACAGCTGTTTTCGATACAGCTCAGACCACATTTTGTTATGCCAGTCAACGACAAGCTCCTGGGCGCCTTCACAATGAGCTTCATGGCGATTAGCAATGGTGGCTGCCTCAGCCATTCTGCGCTTCCTGTGAACATTGTGAGACGTTGCAGGTGAGTCTTCTGTGCTGCTACTTGGTGAATCGGCACGTTGTGGTGGTATGGTCTGTGTGCAGAGCAGGATGTGATGGGGATCAGTCTTGCAAAGACAATTGTTGCAACAAATCCCAATTGGACCTATATGTGGGTCAACAACATGTGGGAGTTTGTTGACGAGTGCCTTACGTTGACGAGTCAAACCATCATTGAAGTATTCAGCTTGAACTTCACATCGGCACCCCTCTGTCTCGATCCACACCCAGAGTCCTTCCTCTACATCCTTTCTGTATTTCATAACTTCGTCAGCATCCTCGGCAGCAGTTTTCATCTCTTGAAAAACACTTGGTTGAACCAAGAGAACTGCTTGTGTGTTGATTGACTTGTCCCTCCCAGCACGGCCACCTCATTGCATCCAGATCAGAAGAGAAGCTGGCACCATAAATTGCACCACACGCTTGATGTTCAAAATATCACAGCCCTATTAAATATTTTCATTAGTTGCTATTACTTGTGTTGATATTCACTGAAAACAAACCATTCCCACAGCTTCCGTCGTTAGTAGAATTTTTTTTTTACCTTTATGAAATTCCATCAAAATCCTTTGCTTCGGCGTGAATGGTAGACTGCTATCTGTCCCTGTAGGTGTAAAGGCAATCGACTCCGCAACCACTTCATCGCGCCCATTGCAACATTAATATCATCAAAAAAACCATGGATTGAATGAGATCAATGTTGTCATCGCCAGAACCTCCAGAAGGTACCAAAAAGTCCAATGACTCAAAATTAGTTTTTCCACCTTTCATCAACTGAACAAACCATGTGATATTGGGCCGATCAGTACCAAGATTGATATGATAGGAATTATCAGACTGGATGTGCATGATTTTCCATACTTCAGCTAAGACCAAAGGAGGAAGTGTTGCCAACGTAACAAGGAAGGGAATATTTGCTGAAACAAATGAGTGCAGAGTCCCGAGTTCTGAATATACTAGTCGAAATTTATCGCCCCATTGAGAGATGCAGTGTGCCTTGTCAATAATGAAGGTAGAAATATGGGCAGCAAATTTTGGATCACTTAGAAGCTTCTGAAATCCATTGTGTTCAAGGCACATATCTGGTGAGGTGACAATGACCTGGTGCTGTAACGTCTCGATTTCCTTCAAGAATAGAAAGTTAGTTTTAATGAATTACTCTTCAGAATGTGAGAACCTTATGTATGGACTCATTATAGGTCTTGCCGTTCACAGCAACTGCTGAAAAGCCCATCAATTTAAATCTCTCAGCCTTTCATCTTCAGCTTGTGGAGAATCTTCAGAGATGCTGGCAAGTATTCACCTGATCCTCCTCTAATGCATTCAAGGGTGAAATAACGACCACAATTTTTTTTGGATCTAAAAACAAGGGCATTACAAACGGCATGGTGTTTCCTGCACCAGTTCCCGCTATAACTGAGCAATCCAGCCCCAGGTGTAGTGCCTCTCTGATGTCACCTGCCAAGGGTACGGCACTTTCCCTGGGTTACGACAGCAGAATTCCATGTGCAATGTTGCGCGAGTGGATGCAGATTGGTACCCTCGTTTTTTAAATGCATCATCCCGAGCTTTTTGCAAGCGCATGGCGGATTGCTCGACTTCTTTCCGGTGGCTATCGTGATGTAATTGTGTAGGCGCCATGCAGCCTGATTCGGAGAGGTCAGTGCCCGAGTATGGAAGTAGGTTCCCGCGAAGAGGGATGGACGCGTCGTGTTCTGCTTCAATTAAGGGCAGATGTGTCATGCTGTCACTCGAGCCTACCCTTTCCTATCAAATTGCACCAGACGTTATAGAGCAGGATCTTGCATGTGAATTTTCTCATTTTTTCACCTCCGACTTTAAAGTCCACTGATCGGATCTTATCTTCCTCCCTCAGCTGCGAAGCACTTGATCCTGCTCTTTAACAGCGGGAACGAGACTAGTCAAAAACGACCAGTGTATATGAATAATGACACCGTCAGTAAATCGGTGAAGTTCCGATATGACCTTTTATTTCTCACGAGATATTAGTCAGATGTTGGAAGATCACAATCCCTCACAATAGCTCACAATCTGTCACAATGCTTGTGTGTGCCTCACAAGGATGCATGCAGATTATTGTAGTCTCGTAGCTGGACAAAATCATATATATATCATTTGTTTCCAATTGTGAGACAGTGTAATGAAGTAAGAAATTATCAGATTGCAGCCTTCTCAGCTCTTGATGAAGGCAAACACTTCTTGATAACTCCCCAAGTGATCAAGAGATAAATCTTGGATAAATCTGCCGTTGCAAGTGCGTTTTGTGACTTTGGGCAGCAAGTCAACCTGAGCTTTGGGCACAGTCATGTGCCCATCGGCTGAGTTCGGAACATTGTGCCATGTGACTGATGTTGAACTTCTGAACTTCAGGACTCTAACGTTCTAATGTTTCAACTCCCCACCATCACTCCCTAAGGCCTGAGTCTGCACATACACCTGCTCACCAATGTTGGCTGCATCTGTGAGTTGGTGTATGTGCTTCTCTGGTCTTGGGGGTGGGCAATTGCCGATAAGTGACACTCCTGTCACATCACACATGTCACGTGACACCCTTGCGAAACACTGACCCAGTCCTGCCACCACTGCAATCCACCTCTATTCCATTGACCAACGTGCAGGAATGTGATTTAGATAGGAAATCTATACATCCTTCAAGTAGCCTTGTATTATTATCTACTTATAGTTGTGGAATGAGAAAACTCCCTGCCAAATGGTGCTGAATAGGCCCCCCATTCTGGTACCTTGGTTCCCCCTTCAACAACTCATTTCTGAGTAAACTTTCATTATGGACAGTTGATATAGGCACAAATCTTCAGGCCAGAATTTTTAAATCACCTTCCCTTTGCACTAAACTCCTCCAAAAAATGCGATATCTCACACTTCCAGGACAGATATAAAAAATCTATCAAGAACATTTTGTTTGAATCTTTTTTCTCATCATCTTTCATTGTTGAAGCATAACCTGGGGGTGGGTGGTTGCTCTTGCATAGTCTATTATTTGCTAAGCAGCAACAACAAGAGGTACCAAAGCAGCTTATATCTACATAAAGAAACCCTAAAAGCAGTTCTTAAATTCATTTTATAGTATCTGAAGATGTTCTGACAATTTTTGTTCCAGGGAGACATGCACCACACACTAGGAATGAGGGTGGCCATGAAATTGAGGAATATATGGCATTTACATCTTATCTTCTCTTAAATGCTGATTCTGACTGACTTAAATTAAGAAATGTACTTCCAAATGATATAGAATTACATTCATGTGTATTTTCTTTCGTAGCACTGCTCAGAACTTTGTTTATGGTGAGCAGCCTGGGTTTGAGGCCATGTGTGATGCACATGTGACATTGGGTCACTGTTTTTGGGGAAATCAGTCACAGCATGTTACATCATGCTCCCAAATGCAACAATGGGATTGCCCACCCCCACTAGTCTGGCAGAATCTGGTCTTACCATCTCGTGAGTTGTACCTTTGCACAATTGAAACCCCCCCTAATGGATCTCATCTAGGATTATGACACGTTGGAGGGCACCTTCACTCTGTCAGTAGTCCGGCTCATATTCAGCGGGCTCCCCCCATCTTCTCCACCCCCTACTCCCCACCCCCATGCAGATGCCACACTTCTGGGGGGGACAGCGAGTAGTTCTCTTCTTGTTGCCTCATGAGTTATGTTACCTCATGCTCAAGGTTCCCCTATTGATTGATATTCTGTTGGACTACCTTTCAGTGTTCAACCTCTTGAGAATCCTTGCTACTTCAGAATTTTCTCCTTCCCCTTTCCCTCAGCTCAGGCTTCCACTGTAATTCATAGTCATTGGTTTTTGTATCTTGTAGCCATAATATATATCTTTTAACCCTACAAACCATTGAATCCAAAGGCTCAGAATGCAAGAAAATTCCTCATAATCTATCAAAATGAATCATAATGTAACAAAGGATTGTATAGTGGCACGAGATTGTGAAATCTTGCTGTATATTGTGAGAGATTGTCTAAAAACGCAGTGATGATGAGGCCTCTTCAGCCATTGTGAGGGAAGTCAAAATATTATGGTAAATTGTGATGATTGTAGTTAATTGTGATCGATTTTGGACCTTATGATGGCTCAGGGTATTTCCCCTGATTTGCTGATTGACACTCCCCAAATCAGGACAGCGACACATAGGGTCATAACACGACACATACAGTGAATTGCCGACACATTGGTGCGTTCCCAATGTGTTCCTGCTCTTTAGTGTGTCGATTTTACATGTGCTCGACACATTGAGATGTGTCCAACTTCAGTTCCTCTTTTCTTTTTTTTTACAAGTCCTTCTGTGCTCGGGTAAATGGCAGGATAATACTGTATGTAATCAGGTACCTGGTCACCCTGGGAAGCCGGCCATTGATTTTCTACATAGTTGAGACATAGACAATTAGCAATAAAATTTGTATTTCTAGGTAGCACTGGACATTACTTACACGACTGCACTGTTAAATCTTGAGAACAGTGAAGTGCAAAAGGGAGAAAGCTTGTGGAAGGGTAGTCGGTCAGCCATCAGGGTCTGTTTCTTAAAATAGAACAGGTTGTGGCAAGATATCTCTCGCACTGGGGCAACGAAACTTATACCAATCGTAAAACAAAAGTACTGAGTTCATTTATATCCTTTTAAATTATAAATTCATTTGAGTACAAAGCAACAGGGTGTATTAGCCTGAAGATATTCAGCATATATACCATACTATTAGAAAATATTTTAGGTTTTGGAGCATGAGCCAGATTTCTTGTGTCCAGTTCACCAAACCTAAGCGGACGCAAATTTTTTCTGATGATGCTGCATCATATTGGGTATCTTTTAGATTTTTTTTCAATTCCTATCTCCCAGCTGGTTGCCATTTTGGCGTCAAGGACCCAAAATGCGAACATGTGAAATAGTGATTTTATAAATTTAGGAACTATAAAAATCTCATATTCAAAGGTGAGAAGAATTTTTTATGGAACTTCCTTTGAAACCTCCAAAAGATTTTGTGTAAATTGGAATAGAACTGACTGAGTTACAGATGGATGATTCTTGAGCGCCTCGAAATGGTGTATTTCCTATTACAGGCAGTGATCCTGAAACATAATGAACCAAACAGAGCCAATACAAATTTGTGTTAGTTCAAGGTGGCCGAGTACCTGATATCCGAGAAAGCGCATTCTTAAAATTTCAGGCATTTCTACACAGTTATACACTGGTAATGAATAAAACGGTCTTAGGTGACCGAGTACCCAATTATGTACAGTATGGAAATAATATGTATTCCTCATGTACAAGAAAAACAATTATATGGGAAGGTATACATACTATGTAGAAGTAGAAAGGTAGGAGGAAGGTAGGGACACCACCTGTCCCCTCCAATAATCCCTTGCTAATCTATAATTGGAGATTCCTGCACTACCCTATCAATGCTGCATGCCCTCTCCCTGATACTAAGTCCTCGGCACCCGCTAGTGTTTAAAGGTTCAGTCCATAGGACCGCAAAAATCCGGTGGACCGAACTGAACTGGACAATGGACCAGTCTTTTTTTTGGTTGCAGTTGCCCCAATTTGGGGTTGGTCCAGTTGCCGGTTGCCTCATTTCGAAAATCTTTTAAAACCGTTCAACGACCGGTTTTAATCGGTTGCAACCGGTTAAACGGTCAGGTGCGTTACATAGCCTTGTAACCACGTTTATTGCCTTTTATTGGGTTTTTGTTTCATCAAAAACGGTTAAGAATTGAGAAAGATATAACCAAATCCATATTTTACCCGAGTCTCTAGGAGATGTAATTCAGTTTCAGTCATAGCTATGTCAAATCTTCATTAAATCTCTTGAAAATTGGTAGAATGACAGGTATTTATATGCTTTACTATTTTATATAACCCGTTTATTTTTCAGAGTAATAATGGTTGAGATACAAATGGTTTATATTGATGTAATAAATTATACGCAAAAAAACCGGTCTGGATCGGTCTGAACCGGTATCATGGACCGCAAAAGACCGGTCCTAGGTGGTTTGGTTCAGTTCCCTCAATATCTGGGTCGGTCCTGGACCGGTTGCAGTCCATGGTTGCGCGTTTTGGGGGCAAAAAACCGGACTGAACTGAACCTTTAAACACTAGCGCCCACACTCATTGTTGGTGGATCTGGTTATTGGCAGGCATTGCGGGTGCTTGTGTTGTGGCTCGCTTCATGGAGGTGAATGTGGTGGTGGTACCCACGTTCGGGCTGGTGTTCGTGTTTGTTCACAGTCGCATTTGGGGGATGGGAACAGGCTGGGAATCATTGGTGGTGTGCTTGGCCATTTGTTGGTTGTTGTGGGCCATTTGCCAGGGTTGGTGGTGGGCCCATGTGGCCATTCGTTGTGCTGGGCACTCATCATCGGTCATGGTGATGGGCTGTTGTAACCATTCATCGAAACTGGTGGTGGGCCCTTGTCGATCATGGTGGAGCCCTGTGGCCATTTGTAGATCCTGGTGGTGAGCCCTGTGGAAGTTAGTGGAGCCTCGCCATCATCCGTCAATCCTGGTGGTTGGTCCTTGTGGCCAATCGTCAACAGTTGTGGTCCGCGCTTGTTGTGTTTCATGGGGGTAGTGAGAAGAGAAGGGGTAGTGATGTGTGACATTGGGTTCGTCACCCCACCCGATTGGGATGTGTCCAACTGTGTCACTCGCAAACTGCATGCCCTCTCATCTTCAACACAGTGTCGAGGATGAGCCTTATCCTCTTTTGGGGAGTGTGCTGCTGTACTTATATCCTCAAAAATGACTCAGGTTGTTCTGAGGTACTTCTGATTGCCTAGAATTGAAGCATTGTAAACATGTCATTTTATTGACAGAATTCTATACAAATAGACTTGAATTGACCCCAGTTCAATCCAAATTGATATTACACTATGTAAGGTTCATTAAACACATGTATGCAGCACATGGGTCAGCCTTGCAAATCACCTGAAATATAACTAACTCAATTAATGCCACATCAAGCCACACAAATCGACCATAGTCACTGTGACTCAGCCTCATTGGAGTTGATTCTCACTGGGGATGATGGGCTGAGTAGTGAGTCTGTATCTACTGGTTCCGATATGTCTAGTATTTGAAAGTTAGGTTAGTTAACCAGAAAATAACCAACCTAACCAAGGGGCTGCGAGTGGAAGATCCTGAGGAAGCAACTCCCTTCGTCTTGTCCCATCAAAGTCCCAAAGGAGTTGAATCCAGGGTCCAATATATCAGGCAGGTAAGACCAAATCAAGCCAGCTTCACTTCAATATCACTTGCCGCAAAACCTGGTTGATTGCTCATTGCTGCTCACATTCCTACCCACCATAGCATACCACTGTGAGTCTTGAACACAAGTAGGATTAGTAACTTGTTGCGCTTCATAGTAGCTGCACTGTAGTCAAAACATGTAGGATTCCAGGTAACCACAGCATTGAGAAGAATCCTTATAAATACCGTGCAAAACAGCATTCCCTGCTGCAGATGCCCCAGAATGAAAAGTTTATCAAATATATTGACACCATGAGCCACTGAGAAACAAAGATTTATACTGCTTTACCCAAAACTCCCACTGAGACAGTGCAATTCCAGATTCCATCAAGTGCTTCCATCAACTACACTATCTTCCAAGAAATCAGAACCACTGGCAGCACATTGCTTGTACAATGTGATCTTTGCAACAGATACCTCCCGCTTACAAAACATCAATCTACAATTCACTATCAAAGACACTGGGAGTGTGATTTGCAGGGATGTTCAAGATCAAAACAATGCTGCTCGTCTTGACATTGCTACCCCATTCAATCACAACCCGGAACGACGTTCATCAACTCTTTCCAAGAACCAAGATTCAGTAGAAGTTACTTGCCACTTACCAATTCAGCTTCCCCTTCCATGACACCAACACAAACCTCATTTTCATTTGATTATCCATCCCACAATGCACCTGCGCTGCGTGCTGATCACTGGCAATATTCTGACCTTCCACCATCATCTCCACCTCCTTTGAGTCCTACATCCGACTAAGGGAGTGAGCATCAAGGCTTATAAAATAGTGTTTCTACACAGTTTCTATTAGTTACACTGTGTATTTAGTGTTACCATGAATACTACAAGTCAACTACAAGTCTATTGCATTGTGTACGCTGATTTAGTCTCCCATATCAGACCCTGGATTCAACTCCTTTGGGACTTTGATGGGACAAGACAAAGGGAGTCGCTTTCTCAGGATCTTCTGCTTGCAGCCCCTTGAACCTAACTGCGGTTAGGGTTAGTTGATTTTGAAAATGGAATAACCGGTTATAACCAGCCCTATTATACACCTTCAAAATGCACTTGAGAACATTGAAAACACTCAAAATTCGACTAAGTTACAGTCAAATCTCTAAAATATCACTCAAATGTGTAGACTTTCAAGGATAATTGCATAAATATGTCAATTCTTCACCGATTTTAGCGTTCTTGGGCTCGTTTTAAAGCTAGAATATGCAGAAATAAGATCTATCAAGATACATATGAGCCTATTTGCCTTATTATAACCGATTCTTTATTTTTCGGTCCTAACCGGTTAGTAACTGCAAATAACCGACCGTAACCAGTTAGTTGCGGTCTGGTTAGGTTATTTTAGGTTTCGGGACAAAGGCTAACTGGTCTTGGTCTCAGTTAGGGCCCCTGGGAACCAAATAACCGGACCCAACCAGACTTTCAAACACTAGATAGGTCAGAATAGATACACTAGCTAATAGTGTTTGGAAGTCCAGTTACGAGACTGGAAAAAAACCATAACCAGACCAGACTCTGACTGATCAGGACTGCAAATACTGAAGACCAATGAAGACCATAACTGCGGTCTGGTCTACGGTCCATTGCAAATTGGAAAAATTGAAGACCAAGCTAAAACTGGTTATAACTGGTCTTAACTGGTCTTTTGAGCCTCAAAAACATGTTGGTGTTTGGTCAGATATTTCCGTTGAAAAGTTTGAACTAATTCTTTAACCAAAACATTTGAATTTTAGGTCAATTGCAGCACCCTTGGAAAACACCGATAACAGATCAACAGCGCCAAACATCATTGATTTCAATCTTCAATGTTTCAACCACCACAACTCTCCTCCCTCATTTCTCCCTCACAGCCACTGTCCCCTGAAGACATTGAAAGAGGTATGTAAGTGGTTTTAAAGTCTTCAGATTCAATTGCATACCTGCTTTAACAAGTTTTTAGGTCTTATAATGTGCAAACATGGCACAACCACATCATGCAGCCCTTCATCCAGGATGTGGGCTCACCTTAGAAGATCATAGATTTCAGCTGAGGGGTTGAAGAAACGAAGGGGAGGCCCTAGCAGAGGGAGACCCACAAGGTGCGGTTGCAGAATGAGTTGCAGCACACGCAACTCATCTGCCTCTTCCAGACTTCCTCCCTCCACCCTACCTCACCCTTCACATAGCCCTGCCCAATAGATCCATACATCTGGAAACAGAATAAGGTCTACCTAGACCTATGTAGGCGTATAGTGATCGGTAGATCTGTTGATAGCCTCCTCGTATGTAGGCGTATAGTGATCAGTAGATCTGTTGATAGCCTCCTCATATGTAAAACTCTGTAATTTCCTATTTCTATGGTAGACACGTGTAGTTCGGGTACTCCTACCTGATCTACCAGGACTACCGATCACCTAGATCTCTACAGCGATCGAGCACAAATTATGGAAGGCAGTAAATGTGCCTGAGGCTGCTGATGATGTTCCGAAAATTGTCTGAAAATTTCTGAAATAGAAAATGTATTGCAGGTACTGTTGAGCAACTAATAAACATAGTATAGACTGTATAGGCATCGTGAGGAAGTGGTAGAGTATTAAGTACTATTGAAAGGAGGGTACCAAAGGAACGACAATGATTGTAAGAATTGGAGCATAAGACAGGTATGAAAATGTGGCCAACTACTCATAGAGGGCGAAGTCGGCATCACTGAAGGTGAATCCATTTGATGTGTTGAGAGTGATGGTGACACCAGCATTTTCCCTGTGCAAATAAATCAGCTCGCAGCAGATCAGAATGGAGAGGGTTGACGTGCCGGTCCTTAATAAGGAGGTCCTTTTGCAGCTTCTCAGCACTTTTCTGATGTGTTGCGGTGTATGTGTGCCAGTTACAGAGGTTGGTGAGATGGATGTCATAAACTGGTTCATAGACCTTCATGCTGAATGGGATCTTCATGAGAACTCCTGTTTGCCACTCGTCAAGTGCATTCTGGAGCTATGGTTATGATTAGCTAAGTAACCGAAGATGAGGATGGGTTACAAACGAACACCGGCACAGATAAGCGCAAGTGTTTCAAGGGGAATTCCCTTCTCAAAGTACATCGGAGTGAGAATGGCCTCAGATTTTGACCGTTCATTGTACCACCTCTTAATGATCATGTCTTCAATCATGATGCTACGAAAGATAGTGGCCGGTTCCATAGGATTGAATGGGTTCTAAAAGTCAATTTGCGATAGGTGTCAATTGCAAAAGTGGAGATGACACATACCTGAAAAATGAAACTGTTGTGGTCCTTGTAGGTTTGAATGAGCTCTTGATTCTTGTTAACGACGTCGATGTTTGTGGAGTTGTTCAAGCTGAGGCATGCTGCCACCACCTCCCGTGCATGCAGTTTAATTTGACCATGGAGCTGGTAGACACGCTGCCAAAGCTAAGGAGACATTATAAAACAAAAGTGGAAAAGAGGAAAACTTTGAATGACTAACCAGGGCCATCTCATCTTCTGTTGGATCAGAGCTGCTGATATAACCCATCCCCTCAACGAGTTCCCCAAGGCCTGCATACCATGATTCTCTAGCCCACTTGTTGACTTGGTCATCCGAATCCGGATATGGGAATGTCGCAACATGGAAACGAAAATGGCGCCAGGCTCGCTCGATGATCCGCTTGCGGGCTGGGCCTAGATCACTTGCATGGACTCCTTTCTTCTTTTGGTGAATGGATTCATCACCAATTCTGGCGGCAGCCTCGTCCTCATCCTCACCGATATCCAAACTATCATCACCATGAGATTGTTTGGAAGGGGTGGTTTTGGAAGGGGTGGTGGATGCAAGAAGCTGGACATGGTCAGACAATTAGATACCAGTTCACAGGGGGGAAAAGCGAGACAAGACACAAACAGGGGTGTTCTCCTTTTCACAAGAGGGTGTAGGAGGGACAGTGTGGGTACACCATGTCAGGTGTGCCTGCGGAGTGGCAGCAGTTGGAGTCCTCTGTCCTGTAACTCCTTGTCGGATAAGCATCTGAGTGCGCAATGGAACAGGGGTTGATGTAATCTATGCAAATAGAGTAAAATTTCAAATAAAAGCCGGAGTAGGACTTACATTGGTGTTGCGAACAGCTTGATCAGCATTGCTCAATGCCTGGTCAGCTCAAATGCTGTCAAATCCGGTGCCGAAGTCCGAAAACTCGGTCTCATTTGCCTCGGGATCGTCTTCAATCTCTTGTTGTTCCTCAGGAGATAGCTCGAAATCTACGACCGTAATTGAGCAAATAATAACAAAGTAGAAAGCAAAATGATACCAGATGGAGAGAGGGGAGCAGGCTGGGGGCTGTTTGCAGCCACAGGAGGAAAACTGAATTGAGATAAAAACTCGGGGCCCAGCTGTCACAAAAATTCAACAGCTTCCACCTCTGACAAAAGTGCAGGCGTGTTTGTAATGGCAACGAGCAGTTGTGTGGGTGGCCATGCAGTGAGACGTGGCCCTTCTGTCTCCGGAATATGAGCGGGAGCCGTAGGAGGCTCAGCCCTGTTTTGACGGGTATTCTTCCTGCGAGAACAGGACTTTGCTTGCTTTGACATCATCTGGTCTGGAGTGCAATCCATCAGTAAATGTCTGTGTCTTGACGAAAAACTTACTGTGGATCTGGATGCAGTCTGTGGGTATCGGTTCATGATGACTGCGGCTGTATGAAGCAAATTCCTGACAGGCAAAATCCTGTTCATTGAGGAGGTCCATCAGGGAGTGCACTGTGGCAGACTGTTGAATTTTAAATCAGCAAATGGCGTGATAAAATTGTCAGCTATACAGTACCTGTTTGCCGAGCAATGGCCGAGTGAGGTACGAAACATGCTACACTTAATCAACAAATTACCAGTCAGTTAACATACACCCAACACATCTGACAATGCCATCGTTGCATTCCTGTTGCTACTGCCTTCGAGTTTTCCCAACCGGTGGCGGGCTTCATCAGCATCAATCTAAGAACATTGAGTGCCGGAATGTGCGCAATGCTCAACTCAGCCAACTGGTTACACAGCACCCAAGCTTGACAGCCCAGCTACCAGACAGCGAAGCACCCATGGACGTAGACCCACAACATGCAGAACCCGCTGACATGGATGAAGTTCCTTCACCTTTTGACTGCCCTGATGGAGTGGCTGAGGATCCTGAGCCTGTCTGGCCTCAATCAGTCACGGTGGAAGATGTTAGCGAGGAGGAGGAGCTCGCACCTCACGAGTATTGGAGCTCCCCATTTCCGGAGTCCAAGGAGGCTGGAGCAACATTTGGCAAGGCCCCAACCACGTTTGAGCTCATCCGTGATGACCAGATTCTGCAGGGTGCAGAGGTCTTAGGACCATTTGAGTCTGAAGAAGAATGGCAATTAGCAAAATAGTTAATGATGAATGTCGGACACAATCAAGTTGAAGAGTTCTTGAAACTTCCAATCATGAGTTAATTGCCAAGTTAACTGTGGAGGAACCTCGATTTAAATACCTTCACAGATACAACAGCAGGTCGATCCATCTTTCGAAAACAAGGACAAATTTCTCTGAGCAATTGATTCATTGCCTGGTGGGCCTGAATGGAAGCTTCAATGTGTTATGTTGAGTGGAGATATAAGTGATGAGGATGGGAACCCACTTACCGAAGAACTGGAAATGTGGTACCAGGATCCTGTGGAATGTATATGGGAGCTTCTCAGAAACCCTATGTTCCAGAATGTTACCAAATTTGCACCAGAGAAGCTTTTTGAGGATAAGCTTGGTAAACGTGAAGTCGTAAACAAGATGTGGACCGCAGACTGGTGGTGGAAAATACAGGTCAGTTGGTTAGAACTCAATATTGAGTACTTGAGCACTGACCTCAATCAAGGAATTGCTCCCTTTGGGTGCAACGGTTGTCCCAGTCATCATATCTTCTGACAAAACATGGTTATCTCAGTTCCAGGGAGACAAGAGTGCATGGCCAGTGTATCTTACCATTGGCAATATCTCAAAAGACATTTGGCATCAAGCAAGTTCACGTGCTACAATTCTCATCAGGTATCTGCCTGTAGGAAAGTTTGACTGCTTTACTGAAAAGGCACACCAGGCCATGTGCTACTGCACCTTTCACCACTGCATGTCTATCCTAACAGGATCACTCGTTAGTGCAGGCACAAACGGAGTAAACATGACTTGCCCCAATGGGTTCGTCCGATGGGTTTGGCCAATTCTTGCCGCTTATGTGGCAGATTACCCAGAGCAGTGCCTTGTTGCATGCTGTATGGAGAATCGGTGTCCTATTTGCAAAGTGAATCCCAACCATCATGGATCACATGAGGCTGCTCTGCCACGAGAAACCAAGGAAACAGTTGTACTCCTTGCAATGAATGAGACGAATTCCAAGGACGCGAAATTCAAAGAAACTTACCAGGAAATCGGTCTGCGTCCAATCTACCTGCCGTTTTGGGCATGTCTACCTCACTGCGACACCTTTCAGTCATTCACACCAGATCTGCTACATCAACTGCACAAAGGTGTTTTCAAGGACCATCTTGTGAAATGGTGTACGAATCTTCTCACCGAGAAGGAACTTGACACCCGCTTTAAATCAATGACCCCACATCAGGGAATTTGGCACTTCAAGAATGGGATTTCGAGCGTGTCACAGTGGATGGGCACAGAACACAAGGCGATGGAGAAAGTGTTTGTTGGCGTAGTTGCAGGTGCAATCAACAACAAATGTGTTTCGCAGGCGGCACGTGCAGTCGTCAACTTCATCCTTCCATACTTACAAAGACGTCTTCATCAAGCTGGAGGCACGCCAGCCAGGTCACTTCAACATTCCCAAAATCCACTCCATGGAACACTACCTCATGCTGATCAAGTTATTTGGCAGTGCCGACGGTTTCAACACTGAGTCGCCTGAGCAACTTCACATCAATTACACCAAAAATGCCTACTGAGCTTCCAACAAGCATGACTATACCATCCAGATGACAAGTTGGCTGCATCGGCAGGAGGCTATTGACCGCTTCACATGGTATCTCAAGTGGATGAGGGAAGGTGGATATGAAGCAACGGAAAAGATAAGGTCCACTGCTCTCTCTGCTTCCCTCCATGACACAGCTACTGCTGTTGTCCCAGCTGCTTCCCACACACCCCAGCCCACAATGTTGTCCACAAACTCCCATGTCCCCTACCAGATGGCCTCCACCATACCTGCAGCTCTTTGTGGCATTCCGGTGCAGAAGATCATTCACAACCACAACGCTACTCAGTTCATTCCAGCTATCCAGGCCTTTCTCAATAAACACTCTTCCCCTATCACAGCAAATCCCTTTGACGGCTTCGATCTCTACAAGCATATCACAGTTTGCCTTCCCAATATTCCTCAAGCCAATGCAAACAGTCTCATGCACGTCATCTGAGCTACACCTCCCATTCCAGCCCATGATCACACACCGGCTGAGCCCCCTTGCCTTGACTTTGCCCTAATCCGGACTGGAGAGCAAAACAACAAGACCAATGCCACTGCTCTCAGAGGTATGTGCCCTCATCTCAGGACCTTTCATGGCTAATCATGAACATAGGGCTTCGCGTTGCTCATGTCCACGTTCTTTTTAAGCTTCCCGAAGTGTATCATCTGAACACCATCCACCCACTTGCGTATGTCGAGTGGTACACACCCTTTGGCACCCTTGATGCCGAAATGGACATGTTCGTTGTCAAGCCGTCGATGCAAAGTCACCATGTCCACGGCGAAGTCATTGAAGTTGACTGCATTGTGTGCAGCGTGCACCTTCTTCCAAAGTATGGAAGAAAGGTGAACCCAGGTTGGACCTCACAGAATGTTGCTGATCGTTGTCAGGCTTTCTTCACTAGCCCTTACAGTGATATTCATATGTTTTGTTTGTTAAAACTAGATATGAAGTCTGCCGTAGGGTAATTTAATACTAGTATTGTTACTTAGACACTTTCAATAGTCATCTGTGTCATTTCTCAAATATTCTGGTCATCAACTGTTAGTCATTCAAGAAACAAGGCATGTCGAACACATGTTGCCTGCCAAGTTGCTGCCAAGGCCATGGTTTCTATGGCTCTATCAGGTACTATATGTCTGCATAACTATGCCGGTCTACAGCAACCTACCCCACCTATGTGGCCCTAAGTAAAATTCATATTCTATGTTGAACTACGTGATCACACTGTAATTACCAAACAAAAATGCCCTTCCAGATGTACTATGACCTTGCAAACTCCACAATGATGTGGCAAGCCCAATGGTCAAGTCTGAACATCACAAGGGCAACACATCCACATTGCTGACCCACCAGCAATATCAGGAACAGTGCGAGGACGTAGAAAACCCTGTGAGGATGTGGCGAACCAACGAATGGCAGGGAATCCAGGTCCCAGCATGTCGACAGTGGACACCCATGAGGTATGGTCATATAATGAGTTGTACACTGCATTACAACTCATTTGCACTGATCGCTCCCTTCCACCTCCAATTGAGCTCCCTGTCCACAGGCCCATCAAGTAGCAGCTACCCTGCAACACCTTCACACAACATGAGTCCACAGCTCACCAAGTGAGCACCCAGTACTGCCACGTCACCACCAACTGCTCTTGTTGTGAGACCACACATGTACATTGGGGTTACTGACTACTTACATGTATGTATATACTTAATACATGTTACATTTCACTATAAAGACCATAACTGGTCTTAACCAGTCTTGTAACCACAGAAAACTGCACTAGACTGGTCTGGGTCAGTCCGGTCCAGTCTTTTCCAGGTTTGGGAATTGTGAGGACCAGTTATGGTTATGGTCCAAGGCCCTCAAGGCCCAAAGACCGGACCGGACCAGACTTCCAAACACTGCTAGCTAAGGTGGTGGAAGGCAATTCCATAGAGGAACAGGCAGGAAGTCATCAGAAGGGGTTTGTCATATAATTGGATGTGATGGGGGTGTGTAATAGAGAGGATATTCAATGTTTGGATATGTGCAAGGTAGAGTAGTGTGGGGCAGCAGCGTGTACTGATTACGATATGAATATGGGAAGTGAGTGTGGGGTTCATAGATAGTAAGGGCCTGGACTCATATTGGGCTCAGTGTATACGAGTAGAGACACACTCCCCAAATTGGGTCAGCAACACATAGGATCACAAAGCGACACATTGGGTAAATAAACAACACATTTGTGTGCAATGTGTCACCAATTCATGTGTAGTGTGTCGACATTATTTGATTGGACACACCCTGATGTGGACCATTTGTTCAAAAATTATTCTCAGTTAGAAATTTCTGTACTCATGTAATTGACAGTGCAAATTTTATAGACAACTTATGTATGATACAGGAAGGGAGGCTATGTACATTAGGAGACAGCCCCTCCTCCTCGAGAAGGGTAGAGGCCAATGATACGGGTGAAACGTGTTCAACCGTATAAAATCCGATTTTCGCGATTTTACCGTTAAACGGTCTTCTCTGCAACTATACTACATACAGTTGTAATGATATAAAGAGTCTATGAACATACCCGGTTCAGTAGACTAAAAGTGCACATGCGTCGAGTCTGAACATAGGACAAAGGCTTTGGAGCTGGCAGCAGTATGCGCCGTGACATTATACTTGGAGCCTACTAGGATTCACCCACCATGAAATAGAGTACAAAGAGACTCTAGAGTAAACCACCCAACGCAGGGAACAAGATTGCATTACTACCAAGGGTTTAGAAACACGAAATGGATTTTAATATGAAAAACTCGGTCTTTTATCTTGTGATAAATCTACCAAGACTTCTAGAGGATAAACTACATGTGGACATTATGAGATAATGTTCTACTACTAGAGAGACTATGTTACAACTATGTGGCATATGTACCGAGACCAAGCGTGGCTTGTGGCCATGTAGAACGTCGAGTACGGCAATTCCCGCGTACGCATCAAAGAGTGATGCGTCGTATCGTCCAAGACGCGTGATGCGCACACCTGGAAAGACATTAGGTAATCCATCCTGGAAACCCCCCTGATAATTAAGAAAGTCATTTGAAGCTCTTCGGAGTGCCATCCGATCTCCATATGATACAGAAACCGTGCCGAGGTATTTTAAATTAACGGCCTCTGGAAATAAAGAAGCCGGAAGTGTGTCTGCATACATATCACACGCATCAGCACGCCCATCACTGAAATGACACGATATGTCAAATTAGTAGCTGAGACCATGATAAAGAAGCATGCGGAACCGGTCCGGACTAGATATAATTAAAACCGGATTGTTCCGCGTACGCATCAAACACTGATGCGTTGACAAAGAAAAGATACTAACACTACAAAGTCTGTAGTGTACCACAAGAGAGACACTACAAACTATACCACACAATCATTAAAAGCTATTTGTATTTCGGACCGATATATAACCGTAGAAAACACATGTAAAAGCGTAGATAGGGGTTTTGGAGTATATAAGGAGCGCACTAGCAGGTCAAAAGGCAAGCAATCGTCCCCCGTTGACCAGCTAGTTGCACTCCAAGTAGAGACTTAGGAGGTGGACAGTTGTAATCAATTAAAGGAGATTTCTTCGTGGTCAGAAAAGTACAGTGTGAACGAAGCCAGCGTGCTTGGGAGTCAGCTTACTTGGAGACTTGAATAAGAGGTTTTTAAGCACAGTATCATTCAGACGAGACAGCGTACTCGTACCCTTTGTTTTGGAGTGTAGTGACATAATAAAAACTCAAGGGAGTTATAAAAGTCCGATAATTTTGTGTTTCGTGTCAATAAAGAAGTCTGTGTGCGAGAACTTTACATTTGAGCAACCAGGATCCCTGAAAGACATACTTTGTTCTATTGAACTATTCTAATACCACACCCAATAATAAAACCCGGTTTTATTACGAAAACTCTTGAGACTTAAACCTAAGAAGACGAAAGTGGTATTTCTTAATACCAAAGGCCCTCGAACTCTTGCACCAAGATTGTGATAGTGTGTGTGTGTGTGTGTGTGAGTTAGTGTTAGGTGTTTAGGGTTTTCCCCTGACGCGCTTGATCCTTGTTTGCGTGTTTCGCACTTTCACGTTCATCCCCGTGCAAAGCGTATCACCAACGGATCCTTGCCGTCTGCTGTTCGCTGGCATTGGGCTGTACATGCTGGTGTTTGGCTCAAAACAGAGCTTTTGGCCCTACACATTGGTGTTGGGGTTGTACATCTGGTGTTTGGTTAGAGAGGTCGGCGCTGGTCATACACACTGGCTTTGGGCTCAAAATGTTGCTGTTCGGTTGTATATGCTGGCAATGGGCTCAAAACAGAGGTGACACATTGGTGTTGGGTTTGAGACGTCGGAGCTGGTTGTACATGCTGATGTTCGGCTCAACGTGTCAGTGTCGATGTGTAGATGATGGTGTTGAGTCATGTTGGGTCAGTGTCTCAACGGTTGTGCTGGTTGTTCCTGCTAATATGGGTTATGTGAGGTGGGTCTGTGGGGGAGAGAGCAGGGGTGGAGGATGGGGGCAGGCTGGGAATTGTCGACAGTGCTATTGACCATTTGTGGATCATGGTTGTGGGTGCCCATGGCTGTTTGTCGAAGGTGGTGATGAGCCCCCATGGCTGTTCCTCGTGTGTGCACCTGTGGCTGCTGGACGGTCATGGTTGTGGGCGGTTGTAGCCATTCGTCGATGGTGGTCATAGGCGGTCATAGCCATTCGTCGATCCTGGTGGTGGCCCTGTGGATGTTAGTGGGCACTTGTTGTCGTCCATCGATCCTGGTGGTGGGCCCTCATGGCTATTCGTCAATGGTGGGAGTCGGCCCTCATCGCTGTTCATGGGCAGTCATCGCCATTCCTCAATCATGGTGGTGGCCAATTGTCGATGGTCGTGGTGGGCATTTGTTGTGTTTCATGGGGGTTGTGAGAAGAGACTGGTAGTGATGTGTGACAGTGTGTTTGTCACCTCACCCAATTTGGATGTGTCCAACTGTGTCACACGTCCTCTCTTCCTTGACACTGTGTCAAGGATGAGCCTTATCCCCTTCTGGGGAGTGTGACACTCTATCAATACTTTACCCTCCCCGGGTTATTCCATATGGACTGGATGGAATCCATACTTCCCCCAGGTGGATTCCATGGAATGGTTGATGGAATCCATACTTTTTCCAGATGGAATCCATACTTTGGTTGATGGAATCCATGCTTTTTCCAGATGGATTCCATACTTTTTCCATGTGGAATCCAGATGGAATAACTGTATGGAATCATAATTCCAGACTTATCTAAGTCCACATCATCAGTTCTACAGTTAGTTTTACACTCATTCCATACTAATAACTGAACAGGGAGAATTTAAAATGTATTGAATAGGATTACATATATATATTTTACTACATTAAATATTGAAGGGAGAAGTGATTGAGAGGAGTGTGTGGTGGAGAGTGAGGGGGAGAGATTGGTGGGGATTGATGAAGGGAGGGGGGAGAATGGAGGGAGAGGGAGCAATGGAGGGAGAGGGAGCAATGGAGGGAGGGGAGCAATGGAGGGAGGGGGGAGCAATGGGAGGGGGGAGGGAGTAGGGTGAAATGATGGAGGGAGGGGGAGCTCACCTAGGCTCGTCCTTGCCCGTGTCCGTTCACTTTCGTGGGCGGTCGTCGTCATTTCGTGGGCATCTGTTTTCATTGGTGGGCTGTTGTTGTTGTTGGTGGGCTGTCATTGTCGTTTGTGGGTGCTCGCGTTGGTGGTGGTGCTGGGTCTTGTGGGCGGTCATCGTCTTCATCTGCTGGGCATTCGTTTTCGTTTGCGTGCAGTCGTCTTGTGGGTGTTCGTGGGCGCTGCGGCTCGTTTGGGTGGGTGTACGTCATTCATAGGTGGGCGGGCTCATCTGTTGTTGTGTCATGGGTGTTTGGGGTCCTTTGTGGTCGTTTGTGGGTGGTGGGGGTTGTGCAGGGCGGTGTGCATCGTTCATGGGTGGGCAGGCTTGTTGGTTGTTGTGTTGTGGGTGTTCGGTGTTGTGTCTGCGCACTCGTTTCTTTTTGTGGGCACTTGTGGGCAGTGGGGGTCGTGTGGGGCGGTGTGCATCATTTGTGGGTGGGCAGGCTCGTCGGTTGTCATGTCCATTCGTCATTTGGTTGCCACGTCGCTGACTGCAACGTGGCACCTGGTTTGTTGTTGTCAAAAGGTGGACTGGGAGAGGTTACCCAGTCCACTTACCTGGGCTGGAGTGGAGGTGGAACGTCCATTGACATTCCGCATCGTCGTCCCATCCGTGTGACGTGGCGTTGCCACGTCATGTGGCTCTTGTAATGGCGGGGTGTTTGTTGACGACATTGCATGTTGTCGTGCATCGTCAGCGTGCGTGGTCGTCGTCATCAGCATGGTGGTGGTGGTGGTCGTCGTTGTCATCGATGTCGCAGGCGGTCGTGGCTTGAGATGGTGGGGTGGATGGTGGTGGTGGTGGTGGAAGGAAGGAACGACGTGGCATTGGCAATGTGTCGTGTCACGTCCGAGATGCCATGTGACAAAAGGCAGTATATACATACCTTTACTTTACCATATAGCAATCATCAGCAAGTTAGCATTTTACTTTTTCCCTTTCTGTCACTTTTCAGCTTTCTCTGGGTTTTGCAAAAAGTTAAAGGCTAAAAAGTGAAAAAGCTAACTACTGGTCAACAACCTTAGACTACAGGTGTTCTATATCAGGGTTCATGTATGTAGTAAGTATGGAATGAATTGAGGATGTTGCTGTGCATGATGTAGTCTGCCAACATCCATCCTAACGTTGAGCCTGGCCTGGTCAGCATTAGTTGTGGTGTCGAAGATGGAAAGAAAGAGGGACATGCGACAAAGTGGTGTGTTGGCATTATTGATTTTCAGACTCTGACGTGATGGTAACCCGATGTTGAACATTCGATCACACCACCAGCTTGAACCTCCTCCATGTCAACCACACTCGGGCAACCTTCTTAGATGTCCATTGGCACGTCCTGCCCAAGTCCCACCTTCAATCAAGTTGAAACACTTTAACCCTCTTGTGGTAATGAGGTCGTTTGAGTGCATTGGCCAGTTCTTGGTGTTGGGTTCTGGATCCAGGCCAAAGGTACTTCCTCCCCTTTTCCTATCTGTTTATGCTTCTGAGTCTTCCATTTTCTAGCAGGAGATTTGCTAGTTGGCCTGCAAGATTTATGTGGTGGGATTTGTAGAGATAGTATTGTTAGTGTTACTTGGAGAGACACATTTCGCTTTTTCATAGCTTTTCTGCTTTTTCTGGTCTTCGAGTAACACAAAAAGTAGCCAGCTTTTTTGGATTAGCCATGTAGCTTTTTCGACCTGCCACTTTTGTCCCTTTTTGCCGCTTTTTTCCCTTGTGCAAGCGGAAAAAAGCTATTTGTTAAACTACTGATGATGCCTTCGTGGCTCAGTTGGTTTGAGCACTGCTAATATAGACAAGGTTGAGAGTTCAATTCCTGTAGATGTAAAATTTCTTTTTTACTTAAATATAGTAAGGACACTATAAATACTGTATTCTAATGGTATAATGGTCATCCATGGAATCCATGTGGACTGCTCCATGGAATCCAAGGTGGATATGCCTGCATTCCATGTGGAATCCAATGGAATCCATATGGAGTGGTGTTGGAGTCCATATGGAATTAATCATTCCATGACCATTCCATGGTCATTCCATATGGAATCCATGAGGTCTATGGAGTAAGAAAATGGCTGGGTCCTCAGCCAACATTGATTCCATGGATTCCATATGGAATTATCCATGGATTCCATGGATTCCACATGGATTCCATATGGAATAACCCAGGAAAGGTAAAGACCTCCACCATATGTATATCCTCTATTGGGCTCAAGGAAGGGCAAATTTCATATACACTTGGAGACCACCTCAGAACACATACTCCTCATTATTTGTTAAAATGGATATATTTGTCCAGAGAAAATATGAATAATGTGGGGAATAAGATCCCCTGATTCTACTCCTCAAACTATCACACTACCATTGGGTCTCTACTGCACTACATCTTGGAGGTTAAAGATGACAAGAAAATGTTAGCAAATATTCACATCAGTGAGGGAAGCCAAAAACCTTCATTTATCATTGAATTCAGCATGGATTTCCACAATGTTAGCATGCAAGACCTCTGATTAGTAAGCCTTCCAGGTCTCAAGAAGACCATCATCCCAGATCCCCTTATATGGCTTCATCCAGAAAGGGGGAACATCAGTATTGATAAATGAAAAGAAGAAAACATACAATCTAGACAGTAAGGGCAGGTGAGATTGAATGATACATTGAACACAGATGGGGGAGGACAAAAGTACGCACATACTGGAGATGAGGAGACAAAGGGGGGTCTGAGTACGTCAAACACAGATGGGGGAGGACAAAAGTACGCACAGGCTAGAGATTTGGAGACAAAGGGGGGTCTGAGTACATCAAACACAGATGGGGGAGGATGAAAGCACCCACATCCTAGAGATGAGGAGACAAAGGGTGGTCTGAGTACATCAAACACAGATGGGGGAGGATGAAAGCACACACAGTCTAGATACGAGGAGGCAAAGGTTGGTCTGAGTACATCAAACATAGATGGGGGAGGATGAAAGCACACACATCCTAGACATGAGGAGACAAAGGGTGGTCTGAGTACATCAAACACAGATGGGAGAGGACAAAAGCACACACCAACTAGTGACAAAGAGTGAGGAGACAAAGGGTGGTCTGAGTACATCAAACACAAATTGGGGAGGACAAAAGCACACACCAACTAGGAATGAGGAGCCAAAGGGTGGTCTGAGTACATCAAACACAGATGGGGGAGGATGAAAGCACACACAATCTAGAGATGAGGAGACAAAGGGTGGTCTGAGTACATCAAACACAGATGGGGGAGGATGAAAGCACCCACATCCTAGAGATGAGGAGACAAAGGGTGGTCTGAGTACATCAAACACAGATGGGAAAAGCACGCACATGCTAGAAATGAGGAGACAAAGGGGAGTCTGAGTACATCAAACACAGATGGGAGAAAGCACACACATCCTACATGAGGAGATAAAGGGTGGTCTGAGTACATCAAACACAGATGGGAGAGGACAAAAGCACACACCATGCTGGAAAGTGAGGAGACAAAGGGTGGTCTGAGTACATCAAACACAAATTGGGGAGGACAAAAGCACACACACACTAGGAATGAGGAGCCAAAGGGTGGTCTGAGTACATCAAACACAGATGGGGGAGGATGAAAGCACACACAATCTAGAGATGAGGAGACAAAGGTGGGTCTGAGTACATTGAACACAGATGGGGGAGGATGAAAGCACCCACATCCTAGAGATGAGGAGACAAAGGGTGGTCTGAGTACATCAAACACAGATGGGAAAAAAGCACGCACAAGCTAGAAATGAGGAGACAAAGGGGGGTCTGAGTACATCAAACACAGATGGGGGAGGACAAAAGCACACACATCCTAGAGATGAGGAGACAAAGGGTGGTCTGAGTACATCAAACACAGATGGGGGAGGACAAAAGCACACACATGCTAGAAATGAGGAGACAAAGGGTGGTCTGAGTACATCAAACACAGATGGGGGAGGACAAAAGCACACACCATCTAGTGACAGAGGAGACAAAGGGTGGTCTGCATTCATCAAACACAGATGGGGGAGGACAAAAGCACGCACCACCTAGAAATGAGGAGACAAAGGGTGGTCTGCATACATCAAACACAGATGGGGGAGGATGAAAGCACCCACATCCTAGAGATGAGGAGACAAAGGGTGGTCTGAGTATATCAAACACAGATGGGGGAGGACAAAAGCACACACATTCTAGGATGAGGAGATAAAGGGTGGTCTGAGTACATCAAACACAGGTGGGGGAGGACAAAAGCACGCACACAACTAGAAATGAGGAGACAAAGGGGGGTCTGAGTACATCAAACACAGTTGGGGGAGGACAAAAGCACACACATTCTACAGAGGAGGAGATAAAGGGTGGTCTGAGTATATCAAACACAGATGGGGGAGGACAAAAGCACACACATTCTAGGAGAGGAGATAAAGGGTGGTCTGAGTACATCAAACACAGGGGGGGAGGACAAAAGCACGCACACACTAGAAATGAGGAGACAAAGGGGGGTCTGAGTACATCAAACACAGTTGAGGGAGGACAAAAGCACACACATTCTACAGAGGAGGAGACAAAGGGTGGTCTGAGTACATCAAACACAGATGGGGGAGGATGAAAGCACGCACACTCTAGTGACGAGGAGACAAGGGGTGGTCTGAGTATGGCAAATGATGACCCATTAGAAAGAATGCACCCACTCTCTAGACACGAGGAAACAAAGGGGGATGTGGATATGCCAAACGTGGATGCATGAGGATGAAAGCACGCACCAACTAGAGACAAAGACATGACGAACAGGATTGTATGTGGACGAGGCAGGTGTTCAAGACAAGGATGCAAAGGAAAAAAATGCATCATTAGGCTAACAGCGCGAGGTTTGCCATTCTGCTGCCAACTGCATACCTTTATTTTCACCAACATGTTGCTCATTGGCAACAATTTTCGCTCATCCGTCTTTTGCTGCCATACACGTCATCAGTCAGGTCTCTCTCTCCCTGCTTCGGCCTCACCTTCAACAGCTTCCACCCAATGCCGGCCACAGACGTGAACACGTCTAACCAATCCCAATTTCTCGTCCACATGCTGACAACCCCCTCATTCACCATCTTACCCAGCAGCATCCACATCCTCTCATCATCACATTTCGCTCCGGCTTCCCGCAAGTGTTCATGCCAATAGGTGACAGCATACTTGTTGACATTACCAGCCCCGCTCCCCGCTTTCACGATATTGTCTAAGCAACTCCTTGCAATCTTGGAGTGTGCATCCTCAGTCAAGATCTTGAATCCATCTGGTGCACGCGTCATGATATAATCACGAAAAGATTTGTGCATTTGTGGGGAGTCATCAGACGACGTAGTGCCGAAAACACTGCGCATCCGCTGAAAGAAGAGCCTGATGTCGAACTTGTCTTCGGTTATATCAGAAAGTAGCGCAACGATTTCTTCAACGGACAATGGCTTTCGGAGCACGAGGATGGTTCCAACAACGTGCTGAAAACCATCTAGTCGAGCAGCATGATCTCTGTCATTGCCTTTTGCAAGCTCATCCGCGACCTCATCCACGTCCCCACCCACATCTTTATCCACCTGCCATGATATCAAGATATGTTTGTACAGACGTTCCAGCCCCCCGAGGCCATCCTTGCTAAATAAATTGAAGATTTTCTTTCGACACGCCGTCCCATGCTGGTGAATCTGGTCCTCGATCCACTGAAGACCGGTAGCGGCATAGTGGAAGAGACCGTTTGCCTCGTCAGATAGCCTCTGCAATTGGCTAAGATCCACCCAATGATGCCAATTCGGGTCATTCGGTGTAAGTTTCAGCCAAGCAGTGACAATTGCCTTCATCCTAGCAACAACGAACTCGTGAACTTCAGTGACGGATGACTCTGTCGTCAGGGAATACCGCTTGAACACCGTGTGTTTGAGCTCGGACTGGGAAATATCTGTCCAGTGCTCTGGACGCGATGTAATGATGAATCTAACGTTGTTTGGAAGGTCACAGTCGATCGGAGCAATGAGGGAAAGGATCTCCATAACGCTCCTATCCGCATCTTTCAACTCGTCTAGGGCATCGATGATAATGACGACCACATCGCGCGACTTAGAGAGTTCCCGGATGGGGTCTAACAGAAGAGAAGTGACTTGCTCATCCCGCTCCCCAGGATACCCGTTCTCTAGGCCCTGCTCAAGAACACGAGCGGCGGTCGGAGAGGATATGGCAAGCTGCCGCGCGATCGTGGGGATGATTTTATCTGCATCGATCGTTTCGGGAATGTTTCGAGAGATAAAGTACTGAGCAGAGACGGGAGTGCCGTTCTTGCGAAGAATCTCAACAATGGTGGCAGAAAGCGTTGATTTGCCGCTGCCTGGGATACCCGTAACCCAAATGATACGCTCCGCGTTGGAAGGCTGCAAAAGAAGCCAGTCCTTTATATCTGCGAGGAGTTGCACACGAGTGCCGTCGGCGCAAAGTCTCTTGCTCTGATATTCGTACTTTGCGGCAATACGGCTGGCGAGCGTCTCTTTGATGGAAAGCTGGGTGGCATCGATGAGTGGCATCCTTGATCAGCAACAAGCAAGCAAACCTACCAGACGACTGTCAATCTCCTGTTTCACCCGGCCTTTTGTGATGGCTATTGCCTGGAAGGAATCAATTCAGAATTTGTCATACACCGGCAAATGTCGCCGTACCAGGAATTTCGCTTTCGCGCTCGTGAACTTTGACTCCCAGTCCCCCGAATCATCTTCTAACGACTTCTTCGACTGCCCGAGTTCAAAATCAGTGGTTGGACAAAAGAAAGATAAACTCACAACACGCTCCTTTGCCCATCGGCAAATCTCGTTCACCGTCGCACTAATCATGCGTAAGCATTGTAGATATCAGGGAAGATTCAACGAAACTCACCAAATCGTCTTGAGATCTTCTTTGACCAATGGCTCCTCATCAGCAACCACGATAAGAGCGCTGATGTACTCAATCGCCTCCTTCGCAAATTCAGATACTTTCTTTTGAGTAAGCGGGATATTCTGATTGAAGTCAGCGGGACGAAATGAGCCTGACAAAATGGCGCACGATGCCGAGCTCAACAAGATTGAGCAATGCTTTAACGAGGGTTCTCGCAGGGAAAGGGCTGTCGGGGACGAAGCCTTTGAGCGCATCGAGAGTCTTTGATTTCAACGACTGATCGATCTTTTCCGCAAGTTTTAACCATTTGGAATTTTCGTGATCACCTCCCCATTTACGGAGCTGATTGATAGCGTCGCCGTCGATGTTCCAATCTTTCCACTCAATCGTAGGATTCGTCTGCATGGGATGTGAGTCGATGTATCAAAGTCAGAACGGATAATCGCACCCCAGTCCTCTTAGACTGTGCATCCGCTGTACGTTTGCCTGTTCATGGATCGCTGGAGGCTTTTGGGATGGAAACACTCACTGATCGCAGCTACGCCACTTCCCACCAATGAACCTCCACCATTATCGATAGGCGTAATTGTATTCTCTGGGTTGGACCCCGCTGTATATTTGCCTGTTCATGGATCGTTGGCTGCTTTTGGGATGGAAAAACTCACAGATCGCAGCTACGCCACTTCCCACCAATGAATCTTCACCATTATCGATAGGCGTAATTGTATTCTCTGGGTTGGACCGCAATCTCGCTGGGTATTGGTTTCGCTCATCAGCCCTTGCTGGCAATCAAGAGACGAAGGCGCTTACAAACGTCTGCTTCACCTCCCGTTTGCGACGACTCCCGTTGAGCCGAAAGACCAGCCGTTCGACTGCGCCTCGCTTTGAAGTTGTTGAATCCGTCCTTCAGCTTACGGCAGATGGGATTTCGCTGTTCCGAGGGGCCTTGCATGTTGGTAGCAAGCAACGTGTAGGTAGAAGCAACTTGTAGGCGTCTAGATATGGTGTGAACGTTTGTTCGACGGCTGATCATGAGACGCCGGAAGTACATACCAAAATAAAAGCCGTTCTGTTCAACATGGACGAAATTTCCCCTCCAATCCCATGCAGCAAATCAGGCTGCAAAAGCTTTTCAAGTGGGCGTTGCGACCCATGTGTTCATTTACCTGGAGTCGAGATTGAAATAACGGGTGAGTACGTTTGGTAGTCTCTTGTGGATAAGTCGATTTGTAATCAATTTGTAATATGTACTTGATTCCTCAATCCTAGACTCGTGACCAGTCCTTATATGAGGAAACCCTCTAGAATCGTGAGTTTACGCACATGATAGGACCTGTCACAGGTCTACCTCAATCCTTCTTTTTCTTCCCGCTCACCTATACTTCTACCAACCCCAGCGTAACCCACAAACCCTAGCCAACCACACTGGTGCCCCAAAGACAAGACCATCAAACTTCCCGGTCAGCCTCTTCCCCGTCAAAGTCAAACCTTTCCCGCCTAAACTACCCACTCCCGTCGTTGGGTCGTCTACGTGGGTCGACACCAAGAATGGACCGCCGGTTAATACGCACAAGGCACTTACGGGTGCGTGTGTGAATGCGGGTATGAAGACCCCGCCTAGATTGGCATGTGAGTTTTTTTTCTTTCACATTTTTCGTTTTAAAGAGATGCGTTGGAGGGCTGATGGCGTTACATAGGGAAAAACCTGACGTCCAGTGCGATTAGCAGTGGTGGCGGGAGAAGAATGCGAATGTGTGTTCTTCCAGGTAGTAAACCCAACACCTCACCGTTAACTTGGGGGGCCTATTCCGCCTAGTTCTGGTCTCGCTTTCTCGAACTTGATTGGTTCTAACGAGGTACGTCAACTTTGAAGGGGTCAAACCAGGTCCTGGCAAGCCGAACACACCTGCTACTCCGGACCCAACACAACCACACCCACTCCCCCCAGAGTCGCCGTCACGCCTAACGACTCCCGGTGGACCTCCCAACCCCCAACTACTTCCACTCCAACCAACACCAAAGCCAACCCAATCGAACGGCGACGTCATGATCTCCCTCTCCCCAAGTCAAGAAAAGAACCTGTACGGTCTACTCAGTATCGAGAACGAGGACGATCTTACGGATTTGGATATGCAGTTGGCGTACGTCGTGCGGTGGGGGAAGACTGCCATCGCTGCTTCATCCACTGGGAACTTGTGGGGCCGGTATGCGGGCGCCAGTGGCGGAGGCCAACTTGGGACAAGGAAGCCGGGGGCAAGAAGACCAAGCCAACTTTGGACGCACGAACCACGACCCTACAGGCGGCCAACTGATGTGTCCCAGCCATGGAAACTTCGTAAGAAGGAGATATGTTCCGGGATGTCGAGACCTGTGAGGGAGGAAGAGAGGAAGAAGAGGGAGGCTTGGGTGGTCGGAAATGTGGGTTTTGTTCGACTTTTGGCCTTTTGGTTCAATGCTCATGTTTGGTTTCTCGTGTCTTCAGCTCTTCGTGGTTCTGTTATATACTGCTTACATGCTATTTCGGCCCAATTAGGCCCAGGAGCTGGATGAACCGAAGTGTGAGTTGGGGGAGATGTAGGTCACTTATGTCGCTATGTACACGCTTTACCCTCATCCAGTACTGTACTAGGCAACTTCGTCATACCAAGCGGGAGATTCCGAGCCAAACTGCCATTCGTAAAAATCTTCTGGTCTGCCGCTTTGATGTCACGCAGGAATGTGCATATCGGGGTGTGCAACCGTTGAAGCGAATCCTAATTTCTCGATTCACGGCAAGATTCACGGTGACGCTGCTTGACGGAGAATTGCTTCAGGTTGCGATGATAAGGCATTTCATGGAACCGCGTGCGCGTTCATCTTGATGCCTCAAAGGTCGAGCTAATATCATCTGTACGGATAACGGCAGTCTCAAGGATGCAACCAAACATTATTTATTCCAATTAGATCTCGAAGTAACGTCTGTAAATGCTAAGAACTACGAATTTAATCCACTGCCGTTCACATGAAATCAGAATAACCACAATGTCGCTGATGCTCAAGGGGAAGGCTCATCACCACGACGTCCTTCCAACGACCAGGGCCCAGCGACGGGGCAACCCTGAAGCTCAGCAGCCTTCTGCATAACTTCCTCATGCGCAGCTGCCGGAATCATGAATCCAGTAAGCTTCCTGAGCAGAGGAAGGACCCCGGTCAATAGCAGAAACGGTCTGATCCCGAAAATGGGGGTTTTGTCCGGACGCCATTTCGCAGTTTCTGTCCGGATTGTACCCGGCCTACCTCAAATTTTGTAAATTTGTCCGGGTTGGTGGATCTGGGGGTTTTTCGGCAAAAATTCGTCCGGATTTGCAGATCTAGCCATTCCAGGGCGTAAAAATCGGCCCAGGTAGGCGCAAAGAGTCCAGAGACGCCCCCAGAGCTTCGACAGACAAGAATCAGTATTCTCGATCTATCTACAAAGTCCATGAGGTTCCTGGAATGGCTGACAGGCTATCCGGGCTTATTGAGCATAACAACTACAAAAACACGTGAAAAGTAAGGACAGTGCACAAAATGTTTAGTGCAAGGATCGAACACCCATTCTTAGGGAAGAGTGGCACACGCCATATCGCGCGCTTCACGACTCAGCTAAGAGACCTTCTGTCCGGATTGCTGCCTGAGGGTGTATGTGCCCTGAGCAATCCTGTCCGGGCTGGGGTTCTGGCTAGTTTCAACGTTTGGTCACTTTCTGTCCGGACTGGCTCCCGGCCGATTTGCAAAAATCCAAATTTTTTGTCCGGATCGGGACCAGACCGTTTCTGCTATTGACCGGGGTCCTGCAGAGGAGGGAAGAGGGGACGCACAATTTTCAAATTTGAAAGGGCCCTACCCAGATAAGAGAGTGTTGAGCAAGGAAGCCACAATTTCGAAATGAACGTACCATTTCCTCCAAACGATAGCCTGAGCTCTTCAAGCTACACAATACCATTAGCCACACCCATTTAACAAACGAAACAAAGACCTACTGAGGTCCTGGCATCTCGCTATACCACCCAATGGCCACCAGAAACCTATTTTGAAGGTAGCCCAAACCGATGCTCTCCGGTCTGTACCAAGGACGATATTGCCATCTATCGGGATAGTCAGCAGCCACCTTTACAACAACAAGGAATCGACCCCACTTGTTCGGATGCAGTTTTGGACACCTCTCCCCGGTTGGTTTTGGTAGATCAATCTTAACTGGAAAAGAGGGGTATATCCTGGGAAGGAGGAACCAGCGTTGTACAGTCCAGTTTATCGCCATGACACCACGCGTTAATGCATAGAAGAACCATGGCTGAGCAGGTTGCCTGTGGCGGTGAAGAGAGTATTGAACAGGCGGACGTCAGGCAGTCTAAGGGGATACGTACATCATCCCAACCCTCACCCTCCATGGGGGAGAGCTTCCGCCATCCATAACGCTCTGCCCATCGCTAGGTAATCAGACAGATGATAGATCAGATGCGGCCATTACGCAACCCTTGCCAAACAATCCTCTCTCACCGGAGGTTCTAAAGCGAACAAGCACAAGGTATACACAAAATCGTCGTTTGACTACAAACAACGGAATTCATAAGTCTTGACGAAACGAAGATGAAGACAACCCACGATTTTTTGGCTGGTAACGGCACCGTCAGCGCCCGCAAATGGAGAGTAAAAGTCGTCCTCGCAATCGCATAAGCCTTGGACAGCGCGAATGCCAGCGGATAGTTCAGCAGCAACTATGGCATGTCATAACTAGTCGATACTAGAATAATGCGCTGGGCCTCTTCCGGGGTAAGCGTTCCATCTTGATATTTCTTCACTGGTGTATGGCGTTGTATCTTCGCCAGCGGAAGAGACGGGCACGGGCAAAATAGCCGAGGACACCGATGATTGTGTCTCGATGATGGTGGGTACTAGCGTGCATTCCAAGATCTTTCAAAAAGTGAAGGAGGTCGATTGTAAATCCTGGGAGGGTGAAGTTGTGGAACTCAACCATGTCAAGGAATCATGGACTTGAGGGTGCAATTGAACGAGCGATATCAACGCTGTTTAATAGCTCGCGCCCGTTGTTTCCAGACCATGTCCGTAAGACCCCGGTGAAGTATTGATGAAGGCTGACGAGGAATGGGGGTATGTAGGCTCTCGCCTCAGGTTATGCCTGGCCTGTGTCGAGGTCTCCAAGAACCCTTGCGAAGAGTGTGGATGTTGCTGTGTGGGGGTCTGCAGGTTGTCCAAAGAATCCTCACGCACATATCCTCCATAAGGATCGTCGTGCAAATCCCTCAAATCCCACCCAGCAACATCGGTGCTCTCCTCCCTCGAATGTGAAGGCTTGGACTCTTGTACATCTCTCTCGAGCTGCGTTACCAAGTGTATCTTCTGGGGCTTGGGCGCGATGATAAGACTGGGATCCCCAGCGTATCCGACGGCTTTCCCATGCTTATCCCACTGTTGGTATCGCATCTCAGCCCGGTCGGTCAGTGTCAGAGGGATCTGTGAGTCCGAATCTCGAGGATTGAAGGCGAGGGTGCTCTCTGAAGGGTTCCCAGAGTACGGAGAGAAACCTTGAGCTAACTTTCCTTGGCTGAAGAAAACAGTTTAGAGAACTCATGGAAAAAATCTGGGAGAAGACATACTGCGCTTTCCGTCTGGCATTGATAACCTCCGGCTTGACCAGGTTCGTCTGATGGAGAATGTACGACATGGCCACGATGGTGATCAGTATCGTGATGGTTAGAACAACGTCGCTGATGATTCTACTTTTAGTATCCTGCTGACCTGTTGAGGAGTCAGTGACTGCGATCAAAAGATGGGGAATAACAGACCGGTACTTGATTGCTCCAAGATGACACCCATGTAGACGAACTGCTTAGGCATGGAAAGCAGAGCTGCTATGGAGAATACGATAATCCCCATACCACACGTCGAAAAAATGGCCGTCGTGACTAGGACAACCATAAGTTGTTTTTCTAAAAGAGTTGTTCCATCAAAACGCACAATGACCGGGAATAGCGCTCAATCTCGCGATAAGAGCGATCTTAAACCTTGGCCAAGCAGGCGTAGGAGATCTTGGTTCTTTCCATCTTCTCTTCTCTGGCGCTACAGCAGTACTTGAACGCACTGTGGGGGGTATCAATAAGATTGTAATAAGACGAAACGGTAACATACTAGAAGTTTCCTACTTCTCCTAAGAATGTTCCAGCAGCGACGATAGCAAAACCAACCCACAAGCCCCACACAAGACCACACAGAATGGCAACAATTTCGTGACCGAATAGCTACAGGGCGTCGTTAGTGAGGGAAGCGCCAAGGTAGGGGATGTGTCGTACAGGTGGGAAAGATATCACGAACAGTACCCCAATTGGTACCAGCCAACCAAACCGAAGGCTTCCATGACTGTTAACAACCAACGTAGTAGGTAGCATGGGAGACTTACTGAAAGAGCCATTGTGTTACGGGCGTCAGCCACCTTACAATCTGCGTATGATAAATCGTAACCAACGCAGTGATCACCACAAGGATGAACCCAATAACATAATACCCTGTGTCGCCCTCAGCACTCAACATAGGAGAAATCAAAGCAGTCAACGCACATAGCCAAGCCCTCCGAAACCAAAATCTCCAGGTCATCATGGCCTTCCAGTTAATAGCCCCACTCTGAAGCTCTTTTTCTTCACTAGGTGTCGGACTTGGCGTCCGTCCCGTCCCTCGACCTTCCTCCAGCGTCTTCCCGACAAACGTCAACATCGAGCTTGCGTAATCATTGTTGTACGGTCCAGCGTGTGGTGGGTAGGGGTAACCGTCCTGACCCGAGGAGGGTTGCCTCATTGGCGGGGTAGCCATCAAGGAAGATAGTGAGAGTTCTTTAGAGGTGATCGAAGTATAATTCAAGAATCTGGGTTCGTAGAGTTGTACTAGTCGCTTATTCAGAACAATAGACTCGACGCTTGAAATTGGTTGGACATACCTTTCTCATAAACAGGATTTCAAAGCAGGTATTTGGGCTTTCAAATCGTGGAACAGATTCACCGGATATCGAGAATTTGAGGGGGCCGCGGCGGAGAGGGAGGAGGAAAAGTGATGGTTGAGAATAAAGAAGTTTATGGGCGTCAATATGGAGTCAGCGCCCGCCTTTCCCACAAGGCGATGCACATGCCGATTTCCACAATTAGGCTGTCCTCACCGCTTGTAGGCTATTTCTCCTATTGCAGAGCGCTCAAACGATATGCAAGCTCTTCTTTCCCGGACCTGTCTATCTAAACGCCAAAATGGCTATTATTACTCATAGTACTGTACCACCCATTTCCCAAAAATTTCGCTTCAAATTTACTGACATTCATCGTAGACTCCGATAACTCGGTTGTCACTGCGGATTCGGAGGCTGAGCAACAAGTAGGGCACTGTGCACCCTACGACGGATTCTAATTACCAGGCGCCTAACTCTACATCAGGAAAAAGTGGACTTGTAATATAGCGGTACGTAGACGTGATAGCGCTGGTAGCGCCATCGAGAGCCCCCTGATATATAGTTTGTGGTAGATACACTGACAAATACATATCACTACAAATAAGTCTATAGTTTAGCGTGGTTGTGCTGTAGCATCATGTAGTTTGATAGAGTCAAATTCCCGTAGTTGTACATAGCTCTATGTGATCTCTATGGTTCCAGGTAGCTTGAGAAATACTCTAAAAGTAGAATCGGTTTATTCTCGGGGATGGTTGTCAGACTTTTCTAATATAGGAAACAACGTATTGTAATGTGTCAGTCTGAGATTTTGTAGTCAATCTAAGAGTCCATTTCGTTTTGTAGTGTGTTGTAAATATTCTATTCTATTTCGCATCGTACACCCTAGTAGTAAGTAGTATCGTTCTATTTTATATCCATGCAATGAGCGGGACTCGAACTCTAGGGTTTGTGGTATTTAGATTAGTTACTTGGCTTAGTTATCGATAGTTACCACTACACTAGCGGGCAATATCTTAACAATGAATCCCAGGTTACCATGATCATCGGCGAGTGTCAAGCGCATCATCGTGGGTTTTCGCTCTTGACGACAACTCCCACCTCACGGCCTCGTCGGACTGAGCCCCACCCTTCATTCCAAATGTTTTCCACATGCCCTTCTTCATTGGCCCATGGACATAGCGGATGCCGATAATAGACAACCACCCTACGGTAAGTGCTTTGCACTCTCCCCATTTGCCGGGCTGACATCCCTCATCACAAGAATAGGAATTACCGCAGGCTTTGCCTCGTTAAACCAAAACCTTCATAATCACTATTCTACTGTGAGTTCGATTCATGTCTTTTCGGACAGTTTCCATCCTGATTCTCGCTGGCGCGTATGCAGTCACTTTTCGTTCGCTTCTGGGCGACGACAAAGGAAGGTAGCGGCGAGGAGGTGCAGGGGGGTTATTCAGAAGCGATGACGTGGGGCTTCCATCTCGATCTCGATGTGGAGGAACTGGATGGGTGACAGGCTGCGTCGCGGAATTTCGCAAGGTATGTGGCTCTTTCCAACCACGAATCTCAGCCACATCCACATACCACCCCAGTTAAATCAAGCCAACACGACACCGAGCCAGCTATCCACCACCAGCGCCCCCGCCAACGAGATGATTCCCCATCCAAACCCCAACCCATCTCCCAAGTCCACACGACATTCTCCATCGATCGCGTGCACGATCAGACGTCACAGCCCTCTTCAAGCGCCGGTGTGCACTCCGACCTTGTAAGTCAAGGTTCGCATGAAGGCTGGTGTTGAAGGCACTGTCATCTTCGACTCCGCTATCGCCCTCCTCCAAGGCTTGTTCCCTCCCAACAAAACAACATGATCGTTTTTGCCAACGAGACGACTGTCATTGCTCCTCTCGGTGGCTATCAATACGTTCCCGGTACATCTTAGACATTCGTTTGACTTTTTTCTTATTAAGATGCATTCATACAGTTGAAACCGTCGAACCTGGCAATGATCGTTCTTTGGCAAGCTGGACTAACTGCCCCGTATGTTGCATCGTCTAGACTGCATCGTTTTTCTGACCAACTCCTTCCAGAACTTCGACAAACACATTCGGGCTTTCAATCATAACCTCCGGCGACCCATCTCACACGTTGCGTTCGACTGGTCCCTGGGCCCTCCATATACAATTATCGGACCTTCGTTATTTTGCTTCGTAATGGAGGGAATGGTTAGTTATAGGTGTAAGATGAGGGGAATGCATTTATTCATTGGCGAGGCTTTCAGGGGTAGAGAAACCATAGATACAAACAAAATCCATAGCATTGATAGCCAGCATAGATCTGGCTGTAACTATTCAGCCGACCAATAAGATATTGCTTCCTCAAGCAGCTCTAGGTACTATCAAATAACATGGCCATGCTATCATGACCAATGCAGTTACATGTTGTGCTCAGCTAAGGTACAGTGCCTACTTTATCTACATTCGGCTACAGAACTAACCGGCGATCTATCGGAGAAATCATCTTTTCCTGATGTAGCAAGGGACAATATAACCAGGCTGCCATATCGAAAAAAGACAGTGAAAGCCTAGTCCTCAAAGCGCCCTGGAGCTACAGTTCGGAAGGACGAGGCTTTTCGTGACTCTCTTGTGAAGCTGCACTGCTTCCTGTGCGCCCCACTGCCCTAGTGCGCATGCATTCCCTCGCAAGATCTTCATCTGCAGGAGGCAGATCCAGCCGTCAAACACTGGCAACCTGTCATGCAGAAACAACTCCTCGCTTTTCCTTTGCCAGAGTCCTCGTTGTATCAAAGCCTCGTGTTCAAAACAAAACCGGACAGCAACAGTGAAGCTGTAAGGGGAATTCTGCATTCTTTTTTCTATTGTCAAGTGTTGAGTATGCAGATTCCAAGTGGTCATCGTCATCTTCCGCTCAACTCGTTTGTAATTACTTAACGTCCACATCCAATGGAACAAAACATGCTTTCGGAGGGTTCAACCCGTTCATGAAGAAATTCGACAACAAAGAAATTCGAACCGATCATTGTCATTGTACGGTCCCGCGTTGGTCCCACGTTTCTTCTGACGACAAGCGAAGGTGGAAATCATAAGCTCAAACGGGACCTATTACTTCGAGCAAAATGGTTTCCATGGGTTTCTCAACCTGGGCAACCTCCGAAAACCACTAAAAACCTCGAAACGTTGAGAAATGGGTGGCTTTCCGTAACACAAATCTACTTATAAAAACAAGGGGGTACCGGGAATTGAAGCCGTGACCCGAGGTAGAGGGGGGGGGCTCTCTCAGAGTGCTTCAAAAAATTTAGTAGTAACCTTCTAAATCTATTTTGAACAGCACCTAGCAACGGCGCATCACATCCACAAGCTTCAGATGTCTCAGACAGCTAATTAAGGATATTCAAAGCACTGTTTGGGTGAAGAATGGATCTTTTTTTTGGGTTTTTGCAAGGTTTTTGGTTCATCTCTTCTCATTTTTTTCATACAGCTTATGAACGGCAACCATAGCATAAGGAAAGGTCAGTAGTATGATGTTTAAGTCCTCTATAGTCTCAAATACAGTTGATTATTCTACCTAGAATAAAGAGAAGTCAGAGAAGATCAAATATGATGCATCGACAACTGTGAAATGCCCTGAGTGTGATGAAGATGTGCAGGTTGGAACAGTGGGACCAGTGGGGATCATTCAGCACCAAGGAAAAAGTCCCTGCATGAAAGCGCGTGAAGCAAAGGAAGAGAAAGGAAGGACATGGACATTGTTCCAGGTTGGAGTGAAGAAAATCCCTGCATCATCACTGGCAGTGGCATGGAAAGGCTTAAGCAACTCCTCCAGAGTCTTACTAGCACAGAATTGTCAATTCACATGTAGAAATGAGCAAAAATTGCTATGTTTTTCTTGGAACAACATATTTGAAGATGGGGGGGGGAGGTACTCAAACTCTTTTTTTAAAAAACCAACCCTGGGTAATTTATAAATTTCCGGGGCCCCCTTGTATAAAAACGAATAAATTTAACCCTTATTGGAGCTTGAAATGGGACCCTAGCTTACAATTTAATCAAAAGAATAAACTGTAATGCACAATAGATTTTATTACATCCGTGATTTGATCTACAGTGCTTTGCATACATCAGCAAATCTGGGAAATTCCAATTTGACATCCTATATATACAGTCGTTTGCATAATGCCTTGCACAATGGATTTTTCACAACATATTTGGTCTTGTTTGAACAGGATCCGAAATGTCACACTCAACCCATTTTTGGATGCCTTGAGCCACCTCAAAATGTAGTCGACAGTGCGAAGGCTGCAGCCAGTGAGGTTTATAATGTCTTGTGGATGCCTCCCCTCATTGTGCAAAGCCAGGATGTGTTGCAATTTTCAACGATTAAATACATCATTACAATAATGTATGGGACAACTACAAACCCCTTTGCAAGAACATCGTGTCACTGTCGTAGCCTCAATATTGGTGATACCAACCACCTCACACCCTCGTTGCATCACGGCCAAAGGCCCAAAGATGCCCACTGTAACCTGAGTATAGCGGCAGGACTTGTGCACAGGCATGCAAGAAGTGTGATGAAAATCACGTTACCCAACACAACCAAACAGATTTTTGAAAAATCCGTTGTGCAAAGCATTATGCAAATGACTGTAAATCAAGGGGGTGCCGGCCTGGGAATCCCGTACCAGGACCCGGTTAGTTAGTCCAGCCACAGGCTGTGAAAAAAAAAAAAAGGATGCCTTGGGCAAAAGGCCTTCAATCATCAAGTTGAGTACCTTGCAGCATAATATGGTAACTACAGAATGTACTGGGAGGAATACAGCTCCAATAGAGGCCATCAAGCACCGTGATATAAGATATTAATTAATTCCTGCCATATTTGGGCATTTTTTTGACATTACTTGAATTACCATTGACCAACAATATCCTAAAATCTACAGTATGTCTAACATTGGTTTCACACATTCTATGTATCACACCTTTGAGACAGAGCCACCTGCCCTTGATGCGGAGGGCTTTGCCATCTGTGGTAGCTGTGTATCCTCATCAAATCCTCATATGCAAACAAGGTGTGCGAGACACACTGGGTAAGTACATTGTATTATGAGAACTGAGTGATTTTCCAACTCACGTTATTTGCCTAGTTCCATCTAAAATGTGTGGAACATGTGCAAGCACCCCGGAATTTTGCCTCCATGACTTGTACAAGACACAGGGGAATCACTCACAAATGATGTCATATTACTATATATGGTGTTGCACAATCCTCGGTAAGTGTGATGACCAGTGACATGCCGTGACATGGTGTCACAGGCCCAATATCTTGAGACATTGAGTTTGTACTTTCCACAGCACCTATTCAATATATTTTTTGCAATGGGTTTGATTGAATTAAGTGAATGAATCCACTGGGAGAGTTTTCCCTGGAGAAATTGCATTTATTGCTCCAAAAATGCGAAATCAGTCTGTTTTCCCTGCCAAATGAGGCAGTCTGAAGAGATTGGACTATAACTTTTCAACAACAGCACGTATGAACATGATTTGCAGACGGATTTTACTTAGAATTCAAATTCCAATCGATCTACGGATCCAGAATTTTTATTTGTGGCACCTGTGCCGAGATACCCTTGAAAATCAGCACTTTTACATGGTTAAAGGCTAGTAATTAAAAATATGGACCCGTAGGATTGTAGCCACATAGTAATCGATGATTTCGTCTCTGCAAACCTAAGCCCAAATCCTATCTGTTGTGAAGCTCATAGCTCGAGGAGGCAACCTTGGGCCAATAGGTGCTGCACAGCCACTGATCCAATTCCAGAATGAGTTGTGATCACTTCCCTTAGTTTTTCTTTTGTAGAATAGTTGTATAATAGCCTACTTTATACATTCAAAGTGTTGTAATAATGCTAAACATGAAAAATATCCAAAGAAAATGCAGTTTTCTGGCAACATCTCATTCACTCTCATAGCCCTCTATATCCTCCCAACCCTCCTCCTCATCCTCCTCATCCTCCTCATCCTCCTCTTCCTCTGACAGATTAATATTCTCACCCTCACTCTCCTCATCTTGGATGAGCTTCCAAGCACCATTTGTATGCAGATCAATAGCATCTACAAGTGCTTTGCGGATATCAGCAACTTTGGTTGGCATTGGCCCTTGCTTGAGATTTGGAGCACCTGCACTCTTGAAGAGTCTCAATTGGTCCTTGAGGGACGTGCCCTTGAGTCCTGGGACCTTTTCCTTGTCAAAAACAAGTTCCAACTGTGCAATCCGTTCTGCAGTTGCCTTTGCATTTTGCTCCCGAACCTCCTTGCATGCAGTTTTCTTTGCTTGTCGTTGGTCACGGAAATCAGTAAGTTCATTGCGCCTTTTCTTCTCCTCCCCATTTGCCTCTCGTCCAAGTTTATGTATATACTGATAGTCTTCCTCAGTAAACTTTGTTTCCATAAATGCTTGTGTGTTATTGCGGAAAAACATTATCAAGGCATTGCAACTGAGAAGTGTAAGCTGAGGCTGATAGTGCATGAGGCGTTGGAAAGACCCTAGCAGACCTTCATTTTCATCATTTGTTGCAGGCATATGTGCAAGCTCCCTTTCCTCTGCAGTTGCTTCATCAATTAGGCCACCAGGTGCAAATTCTGATGTGAAACGTTCCCATGTTTGTGCTGCTCCTTTGAAAAATGCAATAAAAAGATTGTGGAAGTGAGGGAGTGTAGGGATGAGGTCAAATATCTTCTTTACAACTGCAGGATTCTGCCACTTTTCACCATCTAGAGTAGCTGTTTTGTATGATTCAGAAATGTCTAGGTCTTTTCCAATGAGAATGTCAGGATTTGCAATGATTTTCTGCATATGATCATAGACACGAGAATGAAAAGGACCAAGGTCAAGCATGTTCTTTTTTTGGGCATCAGAAGTACGGATTGCTTTCATATATGGGTATGAAACAGCCTCAGCATAAATTGCAAGAACAGCAAGCTCAGTCACTGTTGAAGTGCAGTGGAGAGCCTTCCAGAGATTTAATTCCATGTGATTGAGTGTTGGATTTTGCTTGTTGATGTGTAGACTCTCAAGAAAATCCTTGAATTCATCTCCATAGAGAATAAGGGCTGCAGCAGCATTACAATATGACTGGAATCTATTGTTGGATGTATCGGGAAATGTAAATGGAACTCCCACATGTTCCCACCACCAATAACAAAAGATATCATGGTGGCCCCTTTTATCGTCTTTATTGTTGAAGATTGCACCTGCAATTTCTGCAGTTTTAATTGCACCACGTGTTGATTTGTGAAAAGCTCTTTCTTGAGCAGGTGTTAGGGTGTCACCTTTCTCAAGAGCAGTGGCTCGCTCTTGAACCACAGGATCATTATCACGATTGGCAAGAAGGACAGGGCGTTCTTCCTCAAGCCCATTCTCAATCCACCAAGCTGCCACTGCAAGATACCCTCCCCGAATAGTGTTCAGATCCTTGTGGCAACCACAGCCAGCCCAGATAAAGAGCCGGAAAATATGTTTTTCCTCATCAGAGAGATTATCAAACTCTTCTTTTCCCAACTCAGCAACTGCCTCTTCAATCATTTTGGCCTTCCTCTCAGCCTTCTTGATGTCAGACAGTTTGTTCCACTTATTTACCCCACCAGCTTTTCTAATCATTTCCTCTTCTGCTTTCTTGAAATAGTCACGAACCTCCTCTAATGTCATTTCTAACATTTTTTCTTCTCCAAGATGTTGATCAACAGCCCAAGCTTTCAGAGTTTCAAGCAATCGGGCATCTTTTTTTTCCTTTGCACAGTGATCAGTGCTCATTCCTGCAAGTTTGATCAAAAGTTCAATAAATTTGAGAAGTCCACCTGAGCGCTTTCCAAGAGGACTGTTATTGTAGAGGTCAATAATTTTCTTGAGAGTATTCTCCCAGTCTGCAATAGCTTCTTCACTAGATCCATCTTTTGATGATTGAATTCCAAAAGTTCGGGTTACTTGTTGCTTTGAACTGCCCTCTGGTGAAGTGTAATCCTCAGCAATAAGATGAACATGGCGGGAATTGTAGTTGATGCTACGATGGCTTGTACCATCTGCACTGAAAGTCATACTTTCTGCTTTTTTCATCTCATATCCAAGCTGAATTTGTGCAGCAAAATATCCCTCATGAAGAAATCGAGAAACAGAAGTGCGGCTGATACTGCCAACACCTGTTATTCCTGCAGATTTGAGGACAGCCAAAATAACCTCACCAACAAGGTTTCGTGAGCAGCCAGCCTTGACAAGTGGACGGACAACATTGCGTGTTTCCTCAGTGAAGACACCCTTTTGCATTAAATAGTGAACTGATCGTTGGTCTAAGATCTTCTTCTTGACTGAGGCTATTGATTGCTCCTTTTGTTTTTTACCACATTTGACTGCCTTGCGCAACTTGGAAGCTTTGTTTCGTAATGTTGTCAGATCAGAGGTTGATTTAGCAAGCTTGGCATGGGATTTCTCAAGCTGTGAGGTCCACTTAGCCATAGACATAGAGAGCTCATTATGGAGAGTGTTATTCTGCTTCTGTAGTAATGCAATAGCCTTATGTGACTCACGAGAGCCTCTCAAAAGCTGCTTAGAAGTCTCTTTCTCTGCAGTCTTCAGGATCTCTACCTGATTCTGTAATTGGGTCAATTTTTGTTGCCCTCTTTTTGAGGTTTGGCACTGCATACGAAGCTCATGATATGTTCTCTCATGCTTTTCCTGCCAAAGCACAGAGTTGTCCTTATGCATTTGCAGTTTCTGATTAGCCTTATCAAGCTCTGACTCAAGTCTGCAGCATTCTGTGTCTCTGTCAGCAAGCAGATTCTCCAGCTCCTCAATTCGTGACTTTGCAGCCTGTAAGCTAATCCAGAGATCATCTTTTGCAGTCTCTGAAGCCAATACAGCTCTCTTTTCATTGAGAACCTCCTGTGCTTTCAAGTTAGCTACTGCTGCCTGCCGTTTTCTTGATGCTAATGGTGCCATAATGTGAAGCCAGAGACGTTGTCACTACAAAGTGGCCAAGATGCAGAAATCACCTGAGATGAGAATTACCGAGACTCAGAGAACAAGCACAGAGCAAGAGAGACAAACAAGAATGAAGCCCAGAGAGAGAAAGGCAAAGAATCTCCTGACAAGAGTAGTACTAGAGATGAGAATAACTGAGAGAACAACCACAGAGAAAGAGAGACAAGCAAAAAATGAAACCCAGGGGAAGAGAGAGGTGACAAGCGTGGTACTAAGTTCTAACAATACCTGCAAAAATATATAGTTATATGCTTGAATTGAATGATCTGCCTATATCTATACCTAAAGCAGATGTTCAATTACTGAATAGATCCTAGATGCAAAACAATAATAAGATGTATATGCATTTCTGAAGCTCAAGCACAAACCCTCACTTGTAGTATGGACTTGGATGCTTTTTGATGGAAAAAAGCAGGCAAAAGCACAAAAAAATGGGGGTGTTTTGGGTCTACAGGCTGTTGAGGTGGTGGTCAAGTGTAAAGAAGCTGTCTCCAAGAAATCCAGCAACATTCCTGCATGCATGAGGGTGCCATGCAGATGCCACATGTTGTGCAAACCCATTCTGGAATTGGATCAGTGGCTGTGCAGCACCTATTGGCCCAAGGTTGCCTCCTCGAGCTATTAGCTTCACAACAGATAGGATTTGGGCTTAGGTTTGCAGAGACGAAATCATCGATTACTATGTGGCTACAATCCTACGGGTCCATATTTTTAATTACTAGCCTTTAACCATGTAAAAGTGCTGATTTTCAAGGGTATCTCGGCACAGGTGCCACAAATAAAAATTCTGGATCCGTAGATCGATTGGAATTTGAATTCTAAGTAAAATCCGTCTGCAAATCATGTTCATACGTGCTGTTGTTGAAAAGTTATAGTCCAATCTCTTCAGACTGCCTCATTTGGCAGGGAAAACAGACTGATTTCGCATTTTTGGAGCAATAAATGCAATTTCTCCAGGGAAAACTCTCCCAGTGGATTCATTCACTTAATTCAATCAAACCCATTGCAAAAAATATATTGAATAGGTGCTGTGGAAAGTACAAACTCAATATCTCAAGATATTGGGCCTGTGACACCATGTCACGGCATGTCACTGGTCATCACACTTACCGAGGATTGTGCAACACCACTATATATAGACATGTTCCTGATTACGTTAGTTAGTTAGTCCATCTCAAGTCACCTTAAAAAAAAAATCAACCCTGGGTCTTTTTTTTCAATGCTGGCACCCCCTTGCTGTAAATGTACAATGCTTACTAAGAATTATGTAATAGATCATGTAAGCAATGTTCTAAT